ACTTCTGGAGGCAGGTTGTTCCACTGGTTAATTGTTCTAACTGTCAGGAAGTTTCTCCTTAGTTCTAGGTTGCTTCTCTCCTTGGTTAGTTTCCATCCGTTGCTTCTTGTCCTGCCTTCAGGCGCTTTGGAAAATAGCTTGACTCCCTCTTCTTTGGGGCAGCCCCTGAGATACTGGAAGACTGCTATCTTGTCCCCCCTCGTCCTTCTCTTCATTAAACTAGACATACCCAATTCCAGCATCCATTCCTTATATGTTTTAGCCTCCGGTCCCCTAATCATCTTTGTAGCTCTTCTCTGTACTCTTTCTAGAGTCTCAACATCTTTTTTTACATCGTGGTGACCAAAACTGGATGCAGTATTCCAACTGTGGCCTTACCAAGGCACTTGAAGACCTGTGGACTTCAACTCCCAGAATTCCCCAGCCAGCCTGGTTGAACTGAAGCCCACAAGTCTTTAAAACGCCGAACGACTCAAGAGTAAAGAAAATACTGAGCAGAGGTGAGCCCTATCGGTGAAGAGAAAGGAGAACATAATAGATCAGGGATCTCCAAACTTGGCAACTTTTAAGACTTGTGGACTCGGCTGGGTGGGGAATTCTGGGAGTTGAAGTCCACAACTTCATAAAGCTGCCACGTTTGAAGGCCCCCCCTGTGATAGAGAGAGAGGTGTAGACCCGAGAGACATAGACCATGGCTGAAAGCAAAGAGTGGACCCTCCAAAGGAGTAGGAACCTGTTGAACCGGATGGCTCATTCATCTTCAAAACCCCAAGGCTTTGGAGAGCTGAAGCAGCCACAGCCAAGCAAGCTGCTGCCATTTTGAAATATATACTTTCTTTGGAGAGTAGGCAACAGAATTCTTTTTCAATGTGGGTCAATGTGCTCACAGTAAAAAAAAAAAGGCAATAAAGGTTATCCCATCCCATCCCATCTTATCTTGATTGTCTCCAATCCTTGGAGCAATCAAGCACAAGGTTTTGAAGATCAATACCGATTAGTTTGAGCCTTAGCAGTCCAGACTACTCACTCAAAATAGCATTCAAAGCAAAATGCCTTACCTAAAGAGACCTGGAAAAACACGTGGAGGCCCATTCTCTTGGTCTGTCTTTCCAACTCCACTGGTCAAGCCATCCAGCCTCACCTTGAGTTGAAGCTCCTTGTTATATTGTGGGGATTCTGAGACAGCAGAATTCCCACAATTCATCGGCCTGGACAATAAATTAAATCAAAGCCAAGCACCGTAGAAGGATAGGGAAGTAAGTTTATACAGACCTGGTAAGGGCAATCCAGCTTCTATATTCTCTGTTGTTGAAGTTTGGTAGCCACCATCTTTTCCCCAACTGCCTTCACCTCCAGCCTTCCACACCTGCTCCATCAGAGCTGGATCTGATGGAGCAGGTGTGCTTGCTCCCTGCTGATGTGGCTTACTCACGAGGAAGCTGGAGGTTTCCCTCTGCCACAAGCTCTTCTGTATTGTTGGCAGATCTATTCTATTCTATTCTATTCCTTCCAACTCTTATTCTATTCTACTCTAATCTATTCTATTCTATTCTATTCCTTAATTCTATTCTATTCCTTCCAACTCTCTATTCTATTCTATTTTATTCTATTCTATTCCTTCCAACTCTTATTCTATTCTAATTCTATTCTATTCCTTCCAACTTATTCTATTCTATTCTAATCTATTCTCTATCCTTATTCTATTCTATTCCATTCTATTCCTTAATTCTATTCTATTCTATTCCTTCTAACTCTTATTCTATTCTATTCTATTCCTTCCAACTCTCTATTCTATTCTATTCTTATTCTATTCTATTCCATTCCATTCTCTATTCTATTCTAATTCTATTCCTTCCAACTCTTATTCTATTCTATTCCTTCCAACTCTCTATTCTATTCTATTCTATTCTATTCCTTCCAACTCTTATTCTATTCTATTCTATTCCTTCCAACTCTCTATTCTTCTATTTTATTCTATTCTATTCTTATTCTATTCTATTCCTTCCAACTCTCTATTCTATTCTAATTCTAAGTCTATTCCTTCCAATTCTTATTCTATTCTAATTCTATTCTGTTCTATTCTATTCCTTCCAACTCTTATTCTATTCTACTCTACTCTATTATCTTCTGCTCTGCTCTGCCGTGCTCTACTCTACTCTACTCTTCCATTCCATTCTGTATTAGGCTTAAGCCTCCAGGGCTACTTAAAAGGCTACATATGACACCTAAACAACCCCCTAAAAGCTGGACTCCCCAAAACTTGAGGAAACATTTCCCCCACCCGTTAGAATCTTTTAAGCTTGAGGTGGCTTAAAGTATTTATGAACAAAGAAAAATAAAGGGATAAAATGTAGATTTTTGAGAAGTTCAAGGTGGTCCGTGGCAATTTCAGACAAAAACAAAAACACACACACACAGCACAACAAGCGATCCATTTATTGAACTGGAAACGTGGACCTTAACATCTTGTTTCTGAAATCAATTTCCTCGTCTCGCACTTTTACTACATACAACTCAGCCGGAGCATAAATCCATCCCTCCATACGCACACATGTCTTAAGTTAGGGGGGAAAAAAATATATTAGCTGTGTACCGTATAAAACGAAGCAATGAAAAAAAAAAGCTGGAATCCAGCCGTCCAGATGTAAGCCAAGACAGAGAAAGATTTTATGGGGAAATAATTTATTCCTTGCTGAAAGTTGAAGGCTATCTCGAAGTTCTGATTTTTTCAGAGTTTTTTCCTCCCAGTAACTACTCATCTTTGTAGTTCTTAGTAATTTCTGGAGAGAAATAAGGTGGAACGTCTGATCAAGGGGCTTTTGAGTGCTTGGAGAAGCGCCCACTTCCTTATACCTCTGTCCTCAATAGATCAAAGCATCAAAGAGATGGTTGACACACAAGCTGTCAGATACCATTTAAAGGTCCCACCAAGTGAGGCCAATGTTGAAATGATGGGATCTAGGGTCCAACAGCATCTGTTCCCAAGCCAGTGTAGATCCCTTGATCTAGTCTACTAACGCAATTCAGACATCTGGCAAATTCCAGAAACATGGACCAAGGAGAACCATCTCTGTTCCACCAAATTTGCTCGTGGACTCAGTTGTCCTTCTCCTCTCCTATCTGCCACGCAATGAGAAAAAAAATGTAGCTTTCTACATTAGCTTTCTACATTTCCTTGGCTGTCTGAAACAAACCTAACCAAACATCCAGTTATCATTTTAATTATTTCTGCTTAGTATTTCTGCTGGCACTAATTGCCTAGAGGGGTCTCAAGAAAAATTAAGATATTTTGATGCCTAGGACGGTTTAATTTTGCTAGGTTCCTAAGGGCTGCTTCACTTGTTATTTTTTTTTTCCTAATATGAAAGAAGTTATCAGTCTGGGAAGGAGAAGATAGGGATACAGTAAAAGCAATATCATGGAATTAAAATTATATCGGGATAAGACTCTGAGAAACATCCAGGTTGATTAGGACGGCTTGATCACCCGTTTTCCATTGACGTTGGCGTACCCAACTGAGACTTCGACCTATAAATACTTCTTTTAAATCCTACCTTTAAAAGGACTTCTCTAAAATGCTAGTTATACAAGTCTGAGGCCGTAGCAAACAAGAAATATATCACAGACAATCAAGACATCCTAAAATAATCTACAGGAATGGTTTAGATGCAAGAATGCTTGCAAGGAATATTATAGAGCAAAATGTGGCCATTTTTTAAAATGAAAATCATACTTTGAATTATGTTGGGGTTTTTTTTAACAGCTTAATGAGGACAGGAGGACAATGGGAGGTGCTCATCAGCAATGGACCTGGAATGTTTGGACCTTCTGACCCAGGTTTTGCAGGAGTTTGGTTCCTGTGGTTTTGAACCAGGTCAAAAGGGGGTTCCAAATTTCAACCATGCCATTGGGGAAATATCGGGGACGTTGGGTCTTCTCAAAGGACAACCTTTGCACATTGTCCAAGCAGGCAAGATAGCAAGCAGCAATTTAGATGCAGTTACTCTAGTGGGGAAGCAGAATGCCCTTTGCAGTTGAATGGTGGAAAAGTCCTACTTAAAACCCAATGAGCAAAGACTTTTCCACCTCAAAGGCAGCCCCCCCCCCCAAAAAATAAACTCCCCCCTTCCCCCATATTCAACGGGTAACTTTTGCAAACGTGGCTAATGGAGATTCTTAGTTATCCAGGTCAGGGTTGTCCCAAAGGTGTTTTTTCAAGAGGCAACTGGACTTTCTTGGTTTTCCCCCCCCTGAAGACGTTTCACTTCTCATCCAAGAAGCTTCTTAAGTTCTGAAGAACTTCAGCAGAACTGGAGAAGCTTCTTGGATGAGAAGCGAAAAAGGTCTTCAAAGAAAAATCAGGAAGTGCAGTTGAAATAGCACCCTTGGGGCCTCAGGAGCAACCAGTTTTTGTGGTTTAAAGTGGGGCTAACTCCTCCATCTGGGCTGCAAAGGAGAAACGCAAGATTCTGCAATTATGGGATGGAGAGGGCAGGGTGGGGGGATCAGAGCAACTCGTCGCGTGCAAGCCAACTTCTCCATTTCCTTTTCGTTTCGGTGTCCGCTCGGATTGGCTGGGGCGATGCAGATCAGAAGTAAGTTTTTAGCCAAGACTTTCAAGCAGAGGATCGCAGTGTTTTTATCTACCTTCACACGCGCCTCCAAGTTCCCCACACATCAAAAACTCAGCCTGCCCGAATTAACTGAGCCTTCTCGGACATTTTCCAGCAGATCCGTCTTCATGCCACTGGCATGGAAAGTGCCACCATTTTCACACGGCATTTCTCTGGCCCAGCCAGAGAAAATTGGCGGGGAAAAAAAACAAAACATGGTTACCAAATTTACCCATCCCCGGGGCTGGTGAAGAGAAGAACGTTGCGGTCTGGATATCCAGAAGACATCGGGGTAGAAAATGCTGGAGTAGTCGGGTGCAAATGGAAGGAACGTTAAGGCCTTGGAGGTAAAGAAGTAGTCATAAGCATCGGCTCGGCAAAGGAACATGGTCTTTATTGTAGGACCCGGAGCCTTCGCTTAAACCCTTTTCTTGACGAGGCTGGACGGGGTGGCTTTGTTCTCTGAGGGCTGGACCTGGGGAATAAAGCACGGTTTGGCATGAAGGGGGGCCATCGCAGCCACAACTAAACAACCTCTTTCTCCGGTGTAGTGGGATTTCTGACTGTGCGCTAGGCGGTGCCACCGTGTAGAGCAGGGGTCTTCAAACTTGGCCCTTTGATGACTTGTGTGCCTGGCTGATAAATTCTGGGAGTTGAAGTCCACAAGCAGGGGGTCTTCAAACTTGGCCCTTTGATGACTTGTGGACTTCAACTCCCAGAATTCCTCAGCCAGGCATGCCTGGCTGAGGAATTCTGGGAATTGAAGTCCACATCTAGCAGGAGCGGGAAAAGACTTATCTGCCCGTCTCAGACTTAAGGAACTTGCCAATAAATACGACCCCAGCCGAAATAAAGAACGGCTACCCCAGAAAGGGTCAACAAAGATTCTGTAGAAAAACAGCAGCCAAAATAAGGGGAGAAATCTCTTTTTTCCCCCCGATATGTTGAATAATTTTCCCTCTTCTCAGCCATCCCGTCTTCTCCTCCTTGCCAGGGTTGATGATTTGACTTATGGGGTGAAAGATTCTTAACGCTGGATGGAAGAAGGAAGCAGAATGAAGGAGAACGCAGACCCTGGAAGAGGCAATCAGCTTACAACCGTCACCGTTATGGACCAATCGGAAAGCACAACCGGAATACTGAGGCCCAATGATTGGTTGAACAGAGAGGGGGGGAATCTGAAGCTCCTTCTCCAAGACGGGAGTGGCGAGTCGGTTTTTCCAGATCCCAATTATTGTTTATTTATTTATTTATTTATTATTTTTTTGCAAGATGGATGATTCAGAAGACCAGATGACTTGCGGAAAAAGGAAGAAGGAAAGTCAAAACTGAAAAGCGACAGGAGGATGAGATGTGTGTATGTGAGTGTTTTTACTTACTTCGAGGTTCCCTCTGGCCTTTTTTAAAACGTTGTGCGTTAACGCCACTGCAAAGAGAAAGAAGACTTGGTTTGGCTTGAGAAGGTGCGTTTCCCCTAGGCGTCCAGGGGAGAGTCCTCAACGTACGACCAGGTGTTTAATGTTTAACGTTTTTTGATGTTTAATGGGTGTTATGTATGTACAAATTTCATTTTTAACAGCTGCCAAGGTGCCACCAGCAAAACAAAAAAAAAGGACAATAAAAGTTATTTTATCTATCTAATGGCCCCAAAAAAAGCCCATTTGGGAGAGCGGATTTGGACTTACCACTGTGGGATTTGCCATTAAAAAATGGGTAGAATAGAATAGAATAGAATAGAATAGAATAGAATAGAATAGAATAGAATAGAATAGAATAGAATAGAATAGGAGCTGGAAGGGAGTAGAGTAGAGTAGAGTAGAGTAGAGTAGAGTAGAGTAGAGTAGAGTAGAGTAGAGTAGAGTAGAGTAGAGTAGAGTAAAGTAGAGTAGAGTAGAGTAGAATAGAATAGAATAGAATAGAATAGAGCTGGAAGGGAGTAGAGTAGAGTAGAGTAGAGTAGAGTAGAGTAGAGTAGAGTAGAGTAGAGTAGAGTAGAGTAGAGTAGAGTAGAGTAGAGTAGAGTAGAGTAGAGTGTGGAGTGGAGTGGAGTGGAGTGGAGTGGAATGGAATGGAATAGAATAGAATAGAATAGAATAGAATAGAATAGAATAGAATAGAATAGAATAGAAAAGAATAGAATAGAATAGAATAGAATAGAATAGAATAGAGCTGGAAGGGAGTAGAGTAGAGTAGAGTAGAGGGTGGAGTGGAGTGGAGTGGAGTGGAGTGGAATAGAATAGAATAGAATAGAATAGAATAGAATAGAATAGAATAGAATAGAATAGAATAGAATAGAATAGAATGACAGCATTGGAAGGGACCTTGGAGGCCTTCTAGTCCACCCCCCTGCTCAGGCAGGAGACCCTATACCATTTTAGATACATGATTGTCCAGAAGGGAAATGGCACCAGTTCAAACCATGGGGTTGATCTAGGTCAACCTTCAGTGCCCATTGAGGCCACTGTGACGCCCAGAAGCAGGACAAGGAGCAGGGCAGATGGAAGACCCTTCCCCCACTCACACTGATCTATGATGACCCTCTCCATGTTTTCTTTGAGCTGGCTGGTGGAATACAAGCGCTTGGCCATGCTGTAGAGCTTCTTCTCCTGTTCAGCCACTTTCCGACGGAGCTTGAGGACCTCGGACTTCAGGCTTTCGTCCTGCAGAGCAAGGAGGCGGGTTAGCTTTCCTTCGCACGATGGGTGCTGGCCTTCCCAAAGCTGGACCAGATGCAACTATGGTGGAAGGTGATGCTGGCTCAGGAATTCTGGGAGTTGAAGTCCACGAGTCATAAAAGAACCAAGGTTGCCTACCCCTGCTTTAGGTTTAGAATCATGTTTGATTTAAAGTTTTTGGGGGGGGGACAGTGGCTTTGCTATGTTTTATGTCTCTCCTGCCCTATTTTGATACAGCCTTTGATTGTCCCCAGTAACCTACCTAGAGGTCTTCGGCTCCTGGACTGATTCAAAGTTTCATAACAGCTTATAACAAATCACCAAGTTCTAGAATTGGAAGAGGCTTTTCTTGGGACCAACTGCTGACGTTGCGCCTCCCTAACACAGAGGGTCTCCAAGCTTGGCAACTTGAAGACTCGTGGACTTCAACTCCCAGAATTCCTCAGCCAGCATGACTGTGTAAGGAAGAAGTGAGTAAGCAGCATGGCTGGGTGAAGAGTTCTGGGAGTTGAAGTCCACAGATCTTAAAGTTGCTAAGTCTGGAGACACCTGCCTTAACAGATGGCTGTTGAAGGTCCATAGGAGAAACCCATAGCAAGTTGGGTTTAACCAAAGAGCTTTTGCCCAACAACATATGGAAATTGTCCTTCCCTTCCCTGCAAACCCTTTCCCACTGGCTGTTATTGCATCTGATGGCAAAAAAAGCTATTGTTGTTGTTAGTTGCGAAGTCGCGTCCGACCCATGGCGACCCCATGGACAAGGTTCCTCCAGGCCTTCCTGTCCTCTACCATCTTCTGGAGTCCATTTGAGCTCACGCCTGCTGCTTCAATGACTCCATCCAGCCACCTCATTCTCTGTCGTCCCCTTCTTCTCTTGCCCTCCATCTTTCCCAGCATCAGGCTCTTCTCCAGGGAGTCCTTCCTTCTCCTTAAGTGGCCAAAGTACTTGAGTTTCAACTTCAGGATCTGCCCTTCTAAAGAGCAGTCGGGGTTGATCTCCTCCAGGACTGACCGGTTGGATCGCCTTGCGGTCCAGGGGACTCGCAGGAGTATGGACAGTACCAAAAGGCAAAAACAAAACAAAACAAAAAAAAACTATAGGCCAAGTCAAGAAAGATTTCCTTCTATTAACTCAGCATTATCCAGGTTTATCTTCACGGGAAGACTCAAAGATGGACTTCCTTGTTTTTCCTTTGAAGACGTTTCGCTTCTCATCCAAGAAGCTTCTTCAGCTCTGACTGGATGGTGGGGAGTGGAAGGAAGAAGCTTCTTGGATGAGGGGCGAAATGTCCTCACGGGAAAAAACAAGGAAGTCCGGTTGCCTCGTGGAAAAGCATCTCTGGGGCAACTAGGACCTGGATGGCTGAGAATCACCATGGACCTTCAAGGGAAGACCAGAAGTTCCAACCTGGTCAGGAGGAGAAACAGAGGACCTCTTGGCATGCCTCTATCACGATCCCCTCTCTCCAGCTTTTGGGAGGCTTCAAACCCCTAACCCTAACCCTCCCTCCTTTCTACCCACCCGGAACCCTAACCTGAAGGGAGTAAGCCGCAGCGTGGACCACCTTCATCGGCAAGGAGACCCTCCAGAGGAGGTTCAACAGGCGGGCAGCTTCTTCCAGGTTCTGCTGGACCGCCCTGAAGGTGGCAGACAAACTGCTCAGAGGAACCTGGGGGAGGAGAAATCGGGAGGGAGGGAGATGAGAAAGATTTTATCCCTGGGGGGGAAAGGGGAGGTGGGGTGGGCCCCCTCCCCCCCAAAAAAGGAAAGTCAGCTTGAATTAATGGCACAAATCCAATTTGCTACAGTTTGGGGGCTGATGAGTCTGAATACTGCGAGTCAGGCAAAACTAATTTATTCCGTTAAAAAGGTAGCAAAATTATGCATTATTCAAGAACGGGAGGAAGGGGGGGGCTGCCGGAGGAGCAGGAAAGCAGCCTAATCAATAACGGTAATTAATAATGGGTTACATTTACTGGGCTCTGTGGAAAAACAAGACTCCCCTCCTCTCCTGCTTTGCATTCCATGTCTCGTCGTTTGAAAGTCAAATGACTCCCGACGTCAATTTGGGGCAATATGGATGTTTCTCCCTTAGCAGACTTTCTAAACGCTTCCATTTAATGATGAGCGAGCTATCGGGCTCCTTGGCAGACGGACGAGAGAGCGAAGGAAAAGAAGCGCCAAAGTGAGAAAACTGGTGGGGAAGAATGTTAAGGAGGAAAGAAACTAACCATGATCAAGGTTTGGGGTGGAGAATGTTCTCTGACGGCAACTTAGAAGCCTTCTGGTTTGGATGGGAGTCCCTTTGAAGAAGGAATGGGATGGGATGGAATAGGATGGGATGGGAGAGGATAGGATAAGGAATGGAATAGGATAAGGAATGGAATGGGATAGGAAAGGATAAGATGGGATAGGATAGGATAAGGAATGGAATAGGATACGGAATGGGATGGGATGGAGTGGGATATGGAATGGGATAGGATAGGATGGGATGGGATAGGATAGGATAAGGAATGGAATAGGATAAGGAATGGAATGGAATGGAATAGGATAGGATAGGATAAGGAATGGAATAGGATAAGGAATGGAATGGAATAGAATAGAATAGAATAGAATAGAATAGAATAGAATAGAATGGAATGGAATGGAATGGAATGGAGTGGAATGGAATGGAGTGGAGTGGAGTGGAGTGGAGTGGAGTGGAGTGGAGGGGTGGAGTGGAGAGTAGAGTAGAGTAGAGTAGAGTAGAGTAGAGTAGAGTAAGTAGAATAGAATAGAATAGAATAGAATAGAATAGTTGGAAGGGACCTTGGAGGCCTTCTAGTCCAACCCCCTGCTCAGGCAGGAATCCCTACACCATTTCATGCAAATGTTTGTCTAATCTCTTCTTAAAAACTTCCAGTGTTGGAGCATTCACAACTTCTGGACCTCCACGTTTGTTCCACTGATGAATTGTTCCAACTGTCAGGAAACTTCTCCTTAGTTCTAGGTTGCTTCTCTCCTCGATTTGATGTGATCTGAAGCCAGCGCTCTGCTGGGAAGCTTAAGCTGAAATCGTGAACTTCACAGCAGGCATCTGCCCACTCCCAACTCAAGTCATAAAGATCCCTGGCTTAAGAGAACCCAAGGGCTTCCGGAGAATTGATCCTAGGGAGGATATCAAAACTAGGAGGATATTAGCCAGGTTCCTTTGCTCGTCTGGACTAAGGGCAGCTAATTTTACCCTTCCTCTCCATTAGGGAAACGTCACGGGAACCCCTGGTGCCTGACCCTCCGTCCTCAACTCTTCTAGAAGTCTGTGGTTCTGTTAACAATCCCACCCATTCAGCGTCTCGGCTACGCCACTTACCATCGCCGCAGAATCCAGAGCTTCTGCCTCTTTCAGAGGAAGCTCCAGTTTGGACAGTTGCTTCCGCCCTTCCGTGACCTGCTTCCGGAGACAGTTGTAATCTTCGATCAAGCCGAGAATATGCTGCCCGTTCTTGTCTGCCCACACGCAGTGACTGGGGATGGGGCAAATCTCTCTGGCCTTATTGGTCAACAGGTTGCAATGGGAGGGGCTGTCCAGGGTGCTGAAAGTCAACTCTGAAGGGGAAGGATGGGAGAGGATGTTGGTTAGCTACCCTCCATCGACGCAACTTGTAGACGTGGCAATCAAAAGTCTTCCTTTACGGAGAAGGGAAGACTTTTACTCATTTCTAGATTATTATTAACCCATGGCCTGTACATTTTCTCTGCTCCTCTGGTAGCTGAAGACAATATAGCTCCTCTGCTTCTAAAGAACTGGATGAAATTAACAGAATAACAGAGTTGGGAGAGACTTTGGAGGTCTTCTAGATTGTCCTCCTAGTGCAGGGGTCTTCAAACTTGGCCCTTTGATGACTTGTGGACGTCAACTCTCAGAATTCCTCAACCAGGCACGCTGGCTGAGGAATTCTGGGAGTTGAAGTCCACAAGTCATCAAAGGGCCAAGTTTGAAGACCCCTGCTTGTGGACTTCAACTCCCAGAATTCCTCAGCCAGGCACACTGGCTGAGGAATTCTTGGAGTTGAAGTCCACAAGTCATCAAAGGGCCAAGTTTGAAGACCTCTGTCCTAGTGCCTCCTTTTTCTTATTTACTACTTCCCTTGAATTCAAAATAACAGGATAACAGAGTTGGAAGGGACCTTGGAGGTCATCTAGTCCAATCCCCTGCTCAAGCAGGAAACCCTACACCATTTCAGACAAATGGTTGTCCAGTCTTTTCTTAAAAACCTCCAGTGATGGAGGGTCCACAACTTCTTAAGGCAAGCAGTTCCACTGGTTATTTGTTCTCACTGTCAGGAAATTCCTCCTTAGTTCTAGGTTGCTTCTCTCCTTGGTTAGTTTCCATTCATGGCTTCTTGTTCTGCCTTCAAGTGAACAAGAAACCCAACGCTGGGCATCTCCATTCTAGAGGCCAAAGGCTCACCTAGCTTTCTCTTTATTTCCTAATCCCCTTGGAGTTAATGGCTCTGAGACACGCACGCGTACTTTTGCAATCTTTTAAGATGGCTTGCTTCATCCAGATATTTCTTTCCCCCAGCTCAGCAGAACAAGGTCAAAAGTATCAGATGAAGTCAGCTGTCAAAGTGGGGATATTTATTCGGTAAGTCTTCTGAGCTAAGGGGCATCCATTATGTTCTGTGCCAATAGATGTTCCCTTCCCCATTCAAATTTGTATGGCACGCCAATGCTTCTGTCTCCCCTTAAGCTTTAGGTGGTTAGAATCTTTGATTTAATGGCAGTGGGGGAGGGTGGGGTTGGGGGGGGAGTAGAGAGAATGCTCCCCCAGGACACAACATAAATTTTCTTGATTCATTCACGGACCCTCCAAAGTACATATTGATCATTGCCAAGTAATGCACAGCCAAGACTCTTGTCTTAAACAAGCTATTCAGTTCCGAAAAAGTTTACGGAAACTGGGTTCAACTGTTTAGCTTTGAAGTTGGGCTTCCCTGCCCTCACCTTGGTGCTTCAGAATTCTGAGAGAGGCTCCTTCGATTGGGTTCTTTGGGAAGAGATATCTCAGAAAGAAGTTGGAGGTTTCTGAGATATCTCCTCCCAAAGAATCCAATCTCGGGAGCTGCTCTCAAAATTCTGAAGGGCCACGGGGAGAGCAAAGAGTACGTGAAGTCAATCTCTATCAAGCTTGTCCCCACAAACCATCTAACCACCTTGCGTGGACCCGTTGAATTCTCCACTCGGGAAACTGCTTGGCGGTGGAAGGCAACTCCACCCCCAATTTCCTTGAGCTAAATCTTCGAGAAGATTAAGAAGGTGAGGACACGTTACACGAAGACGGGATGACTTCCCGCCTATTGAGCAAAGGTTTCATGAAGCTCCGACGTGGCTTGAAATAACCCCAGATGGCCTTTTGAGGAACAAGACAAATCCAATCAGCCCCAGCTCAAATAGCAAAAGACTTCAGGAGCCTCACCCACCTCAAACTTCACAGCATATTCACCTTTACTGATGCCCGGATGCTGTTTCTCCCTACAGCCTACATGTGTCAAGACTGATTTACCCTTTCACTTAGATTTTCTTCCTTGCTCGTAGCTTGACAAGATTGTGGAATCGAATGGGAGGGATGGTATCTGGGCAACCGAGGCGTCTTTGAGAGCCTGCAAGAATGCCAAGGTCACTAACGCAGGTGCTCGATGGAGAAGTGGACTTTTCCCATAACAAGAAGTATTACTATTGGACAACGTGAACAACCGGTGGGTGGAGGTGAGGGAATCTATTGTTTCATTAAGTAAGCTTTGGAGCGGGAAAACCAGAGCTGGTTTTGCTTCTTCTGTGCCAATGTAGATTTTCAGTAAAGTAGTATACTCTTGTTAAAATCATGTCCCAGGAGTTTCTTTTTCTGGAAAGGCCAACTGGACAGTTGACAACATGGCCCTTTGAGGGACAACACGAACCCCCTTTCGCAATCAGCCCCAGCCCAAATAGTAGCAGACTTCATGAGCCTCACCCACCCCAAAGCTCACAGGATCTCTAGGAAGGGTGTATGGGTGATGCCTCCTGCCCAACCCATAGTAGTGGTGGCTTTGATGTGAACAACCAAGTTGAGAGAGCACCAAGGATCTCTCATTCCAACCCTACACATATTCGCCTTTGTGGATGCCCAAAGGCTGTTTCTCCCTACCGTTGATCCCAGTCTGAAGTTGTTGGGACTCGTGACCGAAAAGGTAACTGATCTGCACAGCTGGCCCCAAGCAGTTCTTCTCCCCCTTTCCTAGGCGCAGCTGCTCTTCTACTTTTTCGTGCAACATCTGGTTGGACTTGATGCTCTGCTCCAGCTGCTTCCTCAAGAACTGGATTTCAGTCAACAGTTCGCCTAAGTCAAGAGGTTGGTTCTGATCTTTCCAGCATTCGTCTGCTCCGTTGTGGCGACGATCTGAAGGGTTTTAGTTGTTTTGGGGGGGGGGGGATTTAAGAAGAAAAAGAAAACCATTACTATTATGAACAATTATCAGAGGACTGGAGGCTAAAACATATAAAGAACGGTTGCTGGAATTGGGTATGTCCAGTTTAATGAAGAGAAGGACGAGGGGGGACATGATAGCCATCTTCCAATATCTCAGGGGCTGCCCCAAAGAAGAGGGAGTCAAGCTATTCTCCAAAGTTCTTACAAACTATCAGCCTCTTTCATGGAACCAGTTGACCGACTCTTCTAATGCCAGACAGAATGTAATTGGACCAAAGAGTTCTAGAAGGGCAGGACTGGAAAAGAAAATAGCCTTGAAATAATCAAATGATCAATAATCAAACTGGACATCCACTTGTCTGAAATGATATAGGGTCTCCTGTTTGAGCAGGGGGTTGGACTAGAAGACCTCCAAGTTCCCTTCCAACTCTATTATTATTAAATTTATTAATAATAATAATAATAATGCTCTTTAAGGAAGAAATCCTGGCCTTGAAGGTCTTTTAAACGGTTTCATCTATTGGAACCATGACATCATTATTATTATTGATCATCGCACAGTCAGCCAGATGTTCAGACTGGATTTGGCATGTTTGTCTACCTATCGAGTCCTTACCAAGGACCTGGGATAGGCAGATGTGGATGGTTGATGGTGTTACAGATCGCAGGATGGAAGCAGTTCCCAATAAGGATGCCTTTTGCAACTGACTGATGGAGAATTTGTCAATGCCAATGGTGTCCAAGTGAAGCTCCAGTTGTTTTGGGATCGCACCCAAGGCACCTATTACTATTGGTGCCACCCTTGCTTGCCTTTGCCACAGTCTTTCTATTTCTATTTGTAGGTCTTTGTAGTTTGTTATCTTCTCCAATTATTATCATTATTATCATTATTATCATTATATTATTATTATTATTATCTTTTATTCATTAGACATGAACCTCAGTCAACTGAACATTCAAATTGGCTGGCACTGATGGTTGACACAGGTTGCTACCAGCCTCCTAGGTGTCAACCAGGTATCTCCTTATTATTATTATTATTATTAAAAATGGTGGCGGTCAAAATGCTGAACGATGCAGAATGTGAGCCAGCTCCAAAAAGTAGGTAGATCATGATTTTACAGAGAAAAAAAAATGCATGCACACAAACACACACACACACACACCCTCATGTATGCACGTATAACCCTCTCTAGTAATTGCTTTCACTCTCCGAAGATTTAATAAGAGCCAAAAATTATTTTTCACTTTGACTATAAAAGCTAATGTTGCATACCCAGAGCAAAAATTACGTATATTAAAGGGCTGGAGTGAAGAAGATTTATAAATTCTGAAGGACGTTTGAAAGCCTGGTGAGAAGAGAAGATGAGCTTGCTCAAGATTAAATAACAGTAAGAAAAGTGTCCTAATTACAAGACGCCGAAGGGGAGGGTGTGAAGAGAGGCTAAAAACAAAGGCAGCCTCTCCGCTTGAAACCTGGATTTCTGATCGCCCAAATCAAGGAACTCAAAATTCTTTGAACCTGGCAAAGAGCAAACTTTATGCCAGGGGTCACCAAGGTGGGCTCCGGTGGCCCTACCTCATTAAAAGAAATTCAGGCTAAATATTGCAAGTTTTTCAAAAGCTAGCAAAATCTCACCAGAGATATGCAAAACATGGAACGTCAGACGCTGCATCGAAAGTTGCAGGCCTCAGAGTTCAGGTAATCTTACAACAGTTTGTTTAATGGCCATTCAAAGTTACAACGGCACTGAAGAAAAGTTGATTGATGACCAGTTTTCACATTGATGAAGCACCCCCACAATCAAAATTCAGGCACTTGAGAATAGAATAGAATAACAGAATAGAATAGAATAGAATAGAATAGAATAGAATAGAAAATAGAGAATAGAATAGAATAGAATAGAATAGAATAGAATAGAATAGAATAGAATAGAATAGAAAATGGAATAGAATATGGAATGGAGAATAGAATAGAATAGAATAGAATAGAATAGAATAGAATAGAATAGAATAGAATAGAATAGAATATGGAATGGAGAATAGAATAGAACAGAACAGAATAGAATAGAATAGAATAGAAAATGGAATAGAGAATAGAATAGAATAGAATAGAATATGGAATGGAGAATAGAATGGAGAATAGAATAGAATAGAATAGAATAGAATAGAATAGAATAGAATAGAATAATTGGAAGGGACCTTGGAGATCTTCTAGTCCAACCTCCTGCTCAGGCAGGAAACCCTATACCATTTCAGACAAATGGCTGTCCAGTCTCTTCTTAAAAACTTCCAGTGTTGGAACATTCACAACTTCTGGAGACAAGTTGTTCCACTGGTTAATTGTTCTCACTGTCAGGAAATTTCTTCTAAGTTCTAGATTGCTTCTCTCCTTGATGAGTTTCCATCCATTGCTTCTTGTCCTGCCCTCAGATGCTTTGCAGAATAGCTTGACTCCCTCTTTTTTGGGGCAGCCCCTGAGATATTGGGAGACTGCTATCATGTCCCCCCTGGTCCTTCTCTTCACTTAGACTAGACCTACCCAATTCCAGCAACCGTTCTTTATATGTTTTAGCCTCCAGTTCCCCTATATTTGAACCGTTTGTATCTGGTCCTTTTACCTTTTTCATTCCGGAGCGCTTCGTCCAACTTTTCGTACACCTTGAGCTCCACTCGCAAGGAACACAGCAATTTGTCGCTCTCTGACAGCTGATGCTGCTTGGTGGCCAGCTCCATCTGCAACCTGGGACATCCCAAGCAAACTGGTCAGCGTGGGATTACAATTCCGCCTCACGAAGGGGGATCTGACCGTGCTAACAACCGTTGTTTGCCGTCAAGTCCCCCCTTCAGGCCTTCCTCCTGAATCCTGACTTTCCATAAAGGAAGTGGACTTTCCATAAAGGGTTGTTCCTCTAATTTGGTCTTCAGGTCTAGGCAGTTCACAAGGCCAACTGCATTCTAACTCTAGTTCTCAGACTTGTGCATAAAACTCAACCCATGGGAGAAGGATCTGTGACTGTCCACCCACCCATTGAGGAACAACATGGAGCGTTTTTCTCTAGCAACATCTGGAAAACAACTCAAAGCTGCTGTTCAAAAAGGCAACTGGACTTTCTTGGGTTTTGTTTTTCCTTGAAAACCCAAAGGTGCTTTTTCAAGAGGCCACTGGACTTCCTTGTTTTTTTTCTTTTGAAGACGTTTCGCTTCTCATCCAAGAAGCTTCTTCAGCTGTGACTGGAGGATGGGGAAGGGAAGGGTTGATAAGCTCCAAGTGGCCTCAACAGCTCTCAGAAAGAGTGCAAATGACCAGCGGTCTGCAAGGAATATAAATCCTTCCATTGCCCACCATCCAGTCAAAGCTGAAGAAGCTTCTTGGATGGGAAGCAATGAAAAACAAGGAAGTCCAGTTGCCTCATGAAAAAAGCACCTTTAGGACAACCATGAACGTGGAGGGCTGAGAATCTCTGTATGTCAACGCTGCAAATACTGTATATTCTTGCTTTGACAATAGGCAGAACTGTCTGGTATTTTTATAGTTAAACCAGGCAACAGGGAAAAAGGGAGGAGAATAAGGATAGCCCGGGAGAAAGAAACCGGAAGTAAATCACATCTTCCAAGTTGATTGGAAGATGTGAACCATGACCCCAAAATAAGGGGGTGGCTTCTCTTCCGTTACGCATAACATTCTAAGCATTTCCACCATGCTGTACTGACATCTCTGTAACCTTAATAAATGCTTTTAGGAAAAAATATGCCTGAAAGTTCCTTTAAGTGTTTCGTTAATCAGACACATGACACCGTAGACATTTCCTTGAAAACGTTTCGCTTCTCATCCAAGCAGCTTCTTCAGTTCTTCTTGGATGAGAAGTGAAATCGTTTCAAGGACCGAAACCAAAGAAGTCCAGTTGCCTTTTTGAGCAGCACCAAAGCTGGATGGTTGAGACTCTTTGGGTTCTCTTCTAGGAAACAACTGGATCACCAGCCCCATTCTGCCCCATGGGGAGTTCTCGCTGTTTTTCCCACCGTGGATTTAAGGATCACCTGTTCAGTTCGTTCCTGACATTGTAGATTTCGTGGGTCAGACCCTCGTTTTCGGCCTCTCCTTTCCCCACTTGCTCCCGCAGCTTCTCGTTCTCCTTCTTGAGGTGCTCCTGGTCCTCCTGAAGACGCTCGACGGCCAGGCGCTTCTGGGCCAGGGATTCTCGCAAGGCTTCGTTTTCTTTCTGCTTCTCTACCAGGTGAGCCTCAAGTCCTTCTGATACATAATATTTTATTAATTTTCTATTCTTATAGATCGTAAGTGCTTAGTAAACAACCTGTTGTCTGGGTCCTTTTTTTTTACTTAATCATACGCATTAAATTCCTAATCTCTACCGCCTTTCCTGGGGAGGAAAGCTATGGCAAATCAAGACAGCATACTAAAAAGCAGAGACATCACCCTGCCAACAAAAGTGCGTATAGCCAAGGCCATGGTTTTCCCAGTTGCAATGTATGGCTGTGAAAGCTGGACCATAAGAAAGGCTGAGCACCAAAGAATGGAGGCCTTTGAACTCTGGTGCTGGAGAAGACTCCTGTGAGTCCCCTGGACTGCAAGGCCATCAAACCAGTCAGTCCTAGAGGAGATCAACCCTGACTGCTCTTTAGAAGGCCAGATCCTGAAGTTGAAACTCAAGTACTTTGGCCACCTAAGGAGAAGGAAGGACTCACTGGAGAAGAGCCTAATGCTGGGAAAGATGGAGGGCAAGAGAAGAAGGGGACGACGGAGGATGAGGTGGCTGGATGGAGTCCCTGAAGCAGTAGGCGTGAGCTTCAATGGACTCCAGAAGATGGTAGAGGACAGGAAGGCCTGGAGGGACGTTGTCCATGGGGTTGCGATGGGTCGGACACGACTTCGCAACTAACAACAACAACCCCCTTTTTCCGGCCAAGCATAAACTACGTTCCCACATTGAAAATTATTCTATGTCTTCTTTTTCTTTATGCAGGCGTTTTCTTCTACAATGGACAGTCCTGTCTTTGCTCCAGTTCCAGGCAGACACGGGTAAAGCAACTTGTCCCAAAGGGGTTTTTTCAAAAGGTAACTGGACTCTGTTTTCCCTTGAGGATGTTGCCGAAGCGACAAATCTTCAAGGAAAAACAAAGAAAGCCCAGTTGCCTTTTGAAAAAGCACCTTTGGCACAACCGGATGAACATCTTCATCGATAAAGCATCTTCTTTAGAGCAGGGCTTTTCAACCAGTGGTACGGGTACCACCTGTGGTACATTGGCACCTGGCAGGTGGTACGCGACCATCCCAGAAAAGTGGTAGCTGGGGAGGGGAATGAGCTGAACCGGTGGCAGCACCGCACAAGCCTGAGCGAGAGATGGCTGGAGCTGCAGGGCTGTCAGGGCTCAGTGGAAGCGCCAGGATCAGCGCCAGGCTCCAGCTGGAGCTCGGCACTGATCCTGGCGCTTCTGCTGAGCCCAGAAGCAGCGCCGATCAGCTGGAATGTTGCAGCATCTCCAGGGTCTTGTGATTTACATTCAGATGCTTGGCAACCGATTCATATTTATGACGGTCACAGTGTCCCAGGGTCATGTGAAGTGACCAAAACCTGCTGCAACCACCCAGCAGACGGGGGGAATAAAAACCAAACACCCCCCCCACCCCACCCCCGCTGCCAATCCTCAACAGAAATGCTCACAACAATGGAAACCTCGGACAGGAGGAAGAACGCCGCCGGGCGGGCAGGCAGGTGTCTTGCTCGGCCGTGCCTTGGGGGGCACTTTTTTCAGTGCCACTATAACTTCGAACAGTCACTAAGCGAGCGGTTGTAAGTCGAGGACTACCTGTACTTTATCACTTTTTTCCCTTTTTTGGGGGGGGGGGGTCATCAAGTTTTTGACACCTTGTTAGGCGACTGGTGGTACTCGGATGTTGCCATATCCTAAAAGTGGTACAATGGGTGAAAAGGTTGAAAAGCCCTGCTTTAGAAGACAAAGTCAAAAATGGAAGGGGGGGGGGGAATCATAGCACCTTTACTGCTTTCCAACTGAAAATGATCAAGCCTCTTCTCACACACACACACACACACACACACACACACACGTTATCTATCTCACCTCGGGATCCTTTCTCCAGCATGGCGTTCAAAGTCTGGTTCTGCTTCCTCAGGAAATGAATTTCAGAAGTCAGGGAATTCAGTTGCTCCGATCCCCGGATAGCAACCTTCGCTAAGTCTATAAATATATACATAAAAGTGATTGAGGAGTCATCTTTGGATCAGTCAAGATTAGATTATTCTTCCCCCCAAGAGGAGAACCATTTAAACAAAGCAGGGAGGGAGGTTTTTTAAAAAAAAATAGAGAGGAAAAGCTATTTATCCCCGATATATTCTGAAGGTTTATCACGGGTACCCAGGGCGAAAAAAAGAATCCAGCTGGACTTTTTTTTTTAGCAAGCCATCCCAAACGGAGTTGGTATCAGCCAGGCTGCCTATTATCCTTTGCTGATAATGGTGGTGGTGGGGGAACAAGGCTCCTCTATTTAATCTGGGCCACCAGCCAGAGATTGTAAACAGACAGCTTTGCTGTCATTTGCAACAACCTAGTAAATTGCCGCAGGTTTTGATTTATTTTATTATTATTATTTTTTTTAAAGGGGGACGTCAGGGTTGGCTGGCTGCTTTTTGAGCTCTCCTGCTGATCCAGGATTCCAGCTGCCTCAACAGAAGCCGGTCGACGGGGCTTGGCAGGGAGAGGATCCTGGTGCCGGGGGCTACTTTTGCAAAAGGACGAGGGCGGCTGTGCAAAGCAAAATGGGCTCGTTTTTTTAGAGGGGAGCCGCTCCAGCCCAAACACAAAACAGGGGGACGGGTCATCTGCGTCCTGGTTAGTGTTATCTGCTGCGATAGAAGAGAGTTGAACTGGGGGGGAGAGGGGAGGACCTTGGTGTTCTCTGAGCTGGGTGGTTTTCTTGCAGACATTTCGTGACCCTACTAGGTAACATCATCAGTGCTAGAAGGGAGTTGGGTTTGCAGGGAGGAGGAGGAAGAGGAGGAGGAGGAGGAGGACGACGACGACTGCGAGGTCCTTGGTGTTCTCTGAGCTTGGTGGTTTTCTTGCAGACATTTTGTGACCCTACTAGGTAACATCATCAGTGCTAGAAGGAAGGGGGATTTGCAGGGAGGAGGAGGAGGAGGAGGAGGAGGAGGAGGAGGACTGCAAGGTCCTTGGTGTTCTCTGAGCTTGGTGGTTTTCTTGCAGACATTTCATTACCCTACTAGGTAACATCATCAGTGCTAGAAGGGAATTGGGTTTGCAGGGAGGAGGAGGAGGAGGAGGAGGACTGCAAGGTCCTTGGTGTTCTCTGAGCTTGGTGGTTTTCTTGCAGACATTTCATTACCCTACTAGGTAACATCATCAGTGCTAGAAGGAAGTGGGTTTGCAGGGAGAAGGAGGAGGAGGAGGAGGAAGAGGAGGAGGACTGTGGGGTCCTTGGTGTTCTCTGAGCTTGGTGATTTTCTTGCAGACATTTCGTGACCCTACTAGGTAACATCATCAGTGCTAGAAGGGAGTTGGGTTGGCAGGGAGGAGGAGGAGGAGGAGGAGGAGGAGGAGGAGGAGGAGGAGGAGGAGGACTGCAAGGTCCTTGGTGTTCTCTGAGCTTGGTGGTTTTCTTGCAGACATTTCATTACCCTACTAGGTAACATCATCAGTGCTAGAAGGAAGTGGGATTTACAGAGAGGAGGAGGAGGAGGAGGAAGAGGAGGAGGAGGAGGAGGTGGTGGTGGTGGACTGTGGGGTCCTTGATGCTCTCTGGGCTTGGTGATTTTCTTGCAGACATTTCATCACCCAACCAGGGAACATCATCAGTGCTGCGTGATGACCAAGGATGATCATCAGTGCCTTGTTGATGTTCCTACATCTGGTCTCCTCTGGGTAACTCGCATGGGGTAGTGGGCAGCACCAAAACTGTAAAAGTGTGAGCCACACCCTGCCACTGGAGCAGAGGCCATGGGTCTCTGAGGACTTATGTACCAAAGCATCTTACCTTGGTCCGGGCCGGGAACCGGGACCTGTTGCTCCAGGTGCTTCCTCAGATGCTCGTTCGTTTTTATGGATTCTTCTAGCCGATGTCTCAGCAAGCGTATTTCTTGGAGATGTTCCATCAACAGCTCTGAAGAAATTCCAGAGATTGGCTCTAATCAGCTTAGGTTGGGAGGTAGCAGGGAAGCAATGTTGAGCTAAGGATGCTGCAAATCTGGTCAGTGATGGGTCCTCCAGATATTGGGAAGAAACCTTCAAAATCAGGTCCAATTCCCTCCCCCCCCCCGGGCCACGTGGGACACCCCTGATGTCCCTTAAATACGTCACGCACAGGCCCAACTTCATCTCATCCACCTAAAAAAAGGTCTTCTGCTCAAGCAATCTTTTTCTTTGATGCCACCTCCCTTCAGAAGGAGGAGAATGGCTTAAAAAACTAACGAAGATGGACAGCAGGAGGTGGACGCGAGGAAGGAAACTGCCTGGAGCTGTGTTGGACTGCAGTTATCTAGAAGACTAGTTAGTAAATAAAGAAATGTAGCCACTTAGAGTCTTGGAAGTGGTATATAAAAGAAACTAAAACTGGATTAAGAGGCAGAGTACTCAGAACAGAATAACAGAGTTCAAAAGAACCTTGGGAGGTCCTCTAGTCCAACCCAAGCAGGCGCCCCTACACCATTTCTGACAGATGGCAGTCCAGAACAAGCTGACTGTAGAAAGGGTGACAGGCAGCTGAAGTGATTAGTATTAGATGCTATTAAAGTTCCCCTACAGAGGAAACTTAACACGACAAAGTGAGTTTCCCAGCTTAGCTACTTAACTAACTCCTGAATTATGGGGTAACCCCTCAAAAACCATCTACATTAAAACATTGGTGGGCACAACTGTGTGAGAAAAAAGGCACCTTTTCCCCATCTGGGTAATTAAAAGAAATCTGTACAGACCACAATAGCCCAATTCATTGCAGGAAATCCTTCCCTTTGGCACCCCTGTTCCTTCAACTCCTTTCTCCTTCCATCCAGGACCTGTCCTTCAAAAGCAGGACCTGTCCTTCAATTTGGTTGTTGCAAATGACAGCAAAGCGGTCTGTTTACAATCTCTGGCTGGTGGCCCAGATTAAATAGAGGAGCCTTGTTCCCACCCCCAGCCATCCTGGACCCACCCAAAAATGTTGCTCTCCAATTCTTAGTTATTTTCATAACCCAGCTCACTGGAAAAATCCAGACACCCAGTATCCAGTGTCATCTAAAGACGCTCTTCCCGTTTCAGGCCCATCTTGCTTTGCTACATATGCTTCGCTTTCCGCTGACCCCATCTAGAAAAAATAATTCCGCAAAGTGACCGTGGCTTTGAGCCTTGCGTCCGCTAAAACGAAGCACCGAGGACGTCGGTTCTTCTGCCCGCTCGTGTTCTTGTACCTTTGAGGGCGCAATGGGTGCAGCAACGGACCGTTCCCCAACAACTTTGCATATCTGCTTCGCTCCGGGGTCGTTCCCATCATTTGACGGCCCCGCTCTTGTCATTCTGCTCACCCACCCTCTAAGCTTCTGAACTCCTGTGGCCGTCGCCAAATGTTGTTGGGGTTTTTTTGGCGCTGTCCGGTTGTCAGCCTGCAGATTGCAACCCGAAGGCAACGGATGCGCGAGGTGTGCGTTTCTGGGCCAGGGCTCCCATCAATTATGCAAGGTAGGAAAGCCGACACCGGTTTCTCTGAAGGTGGACAGTCTAGAATTTAATCCTTGCCTGCTGATTATTTGGCAGACAGTTTAGGAGCATTTTTGGGGGGGGTTAAAAAGAAACTCACAAACCACAGATGAAGAAGGACCCACGGGTGGAATAGGCTTCTGAGCTTTCAAGAGTCAAAGCCAAGCTGAAACAGCCTTTGGAGGTCATGTAAGGATCTCAGAAGGTTGACTCGGCCTACCATCCTTCTGAGGTCGGTAAAATGAGGACCCAGATTGTTGGGAGGCAATAAGCTGACTCTGTAAACTGCTTAGAGAGGGCTGTGAAGCACTGTGAAATGGTATATAAGTCTTAAGTGCTATTATTGCTATCTGGCTGTCTATTTATGTCTGTCTATCTATCTATTTACAGTATCTATCTATCTCTATCTGTCTATCTATGTCTGTCTGTCTATCTACAATATCTATCTCTGTCTATCTATCTGTCTATGTCTGTCTGTGTCTGTCTATCTATCCATCCATCCATCTATCCACCCACCCACCCCCCCCCCCCCCTCTCTCTCTCTCTCTCTCTCTCTCTATCTATCTGTCTATGTCAGTCTGTGTCTATCTATCCATCCATCCATCTATCCACCCACCCACCCATCTCTGTCTCTGTCTCTCTGTCTCTGTCTCTCTCTCTGTGTGTCTCTATCTATCTATCTATCTATCTATCTATCTATCTATCTATCTATCTATCTATCTATCTATCTATCTATCTATCATCTATCTATCTATCTATCTATCTATCTATCTATCTATCTATCTATCTATCTATCTATCTATCTATCTATCTATCTATCTGCCTGCTGTGATGGCACAAAGATTAGAATGCAGTATTGCAGGCTAACTCTGCCCATTGCCAGCAGTTTGATCCTGACCGGCTCAAGGTTGACTCAGCTTTCCAATCTTCCAAAGTTGGAAAAATGAGGACCCAAATTGTTGGGGGTAAACTGCACAGAGAGGTCTGTAAAGCACTGTGAAGCAGTATATAAGTCTTAAGTGCTATTGCTGTGTCTATATCTATCTGTCAATATCTATCTATCTCTATATGCTACATCTATCTATCCATCCATCCTTCCGAGGTGGGTAGAACGAGAACCCAGATTACTGGGGGGCAGGATGCTGACTCTGTAAACCGCTTAGAGAGGGCTGTAAAGCACTGTGAATCAGTATATAAGTCTAAGGGCTATTGCTATTGCTTCAAGAGTCAAAGCAAAGCTGAAACAGCCTTTGGAGGCCATGTAAGAACCTGTAAGAAGGATTCAACCTAACCCTCTGTGTCACTCAGTGGCCAATCATAAGCATCCATAAATTTGTAAATCTGTCCTAGGAGTGGTCATCTCACACAGTAGATGGTATTAGTAGCAATTCACTTGAAGCTGGAGGAGATATCTTAGGAGGCATCAAGACTTGCTACCATCAATAGATCCAGTCCTCCATGAATGCATCCTGTCCTTTTGAAAACTCCTTACCTCCTGGATTTGAAGGCAGAAAGAGTCACCTCCAAGTCCAGCCTCCTGGCTTGAGCAGAGGGTTAGACTGGAAGACCTCCAAGGTCCCTTCTAACTCTGTTATTCGGTGACTCTGACTCGGCAAGATTGTCACTCCTTCAGCATTCCCTGCGCATCGGCCAGACAGACCAATGTTTACCTGGTGGGAACTTGGTTGGGGTGGCAGAGGGTTTCCCCTTCCCGCTCTCCGCTTCTTCTTTTCCATGCGTGGACACCTCCAAAGAAGTCAGGTGTTGGGATACCTCGAAGTCAGACAAGCTACAGAGAAAAAGAAAATGGGCAAGGTTTAAATTCGGGGAGTCCTCCACTTATGACTACAGTTGATGACCAAATTTCTATGGCTCAGCAAGACACTTGTTAAGCTTTGAGGTTTGCCCCATTTTGCGACGTTTCTGGCCACCGTGGTTAAGGGAATCACGGGACTCGTCAGATTAGTAACCCAGTTGTTACTAATGGCTTCCCCATTGACTTTGCTGGTCAAAAGGCCGCAAAAGGGGAATCACACGGAAGCAACATGTCATAAACATGAACCACTTGCAGAATTTGATCCGATGGCCATGGCGGATGCTGCAACGGTCGTAAGTCTGAAAAACGGTCGTAAGTCCCTTTTTTCAGCGCTGTTGTAACTTCGAACGGGCACCAAATGAATGTAAGTCAAGGATTACCTGTATTTTGCTGGACGTTCTGTTTGAATTGGGATGTACCGTCAAGAGAAGGTGGACAAGGGAAGGACTGAGCCGTGCCCCCCCAAAAAAGAAAATAAATGGCTCTATAGGAATAGAATAGAATAGAAGCTGGAAGAGACCCTGGAGGTCTTCTAGTCCAGCCCCCTGCTCAGGCAGGAGAACCTATACCGTCTCAGACAGGTGAATGTCCAGTCTCCTCTTAAAAATCTCCAGTGATGGAGTGCAAGAAAAGAAAAAGAAGCGAGGGAGGGAGAAAATAATAATAGAATAGAATAGAATAGAATAGAATAGAATAGAAATACAGAATGGAATAGAACAGAACAGAACAGAACGGAACGGAACGGAACGGAATAGAATAGAACCTGGAAGGGACCTTGGAGGTCTTCTAGTCCAGCCCCCTGCTCAAGCAGGAGAACCTACACCGTCTCAGAGAGGTGAATGCCCAGTCTCCTCTTAAAAAATCCCCAGTGATGGAGCACCCACAATTTCTGGGGGGTCAGCTGTTTCACTGGTTGATTGTCCTCGCTGTCAGGAAGTTTCTCCTTAAGTTGTCATTGTGTAGACAGATCTCCACAAAATGCCCAGGCACACCAAGCAGGAGGACGAGTGCTCACGCGGACGTTTGCTCAGCGCACAATTCCATCTCAACGTTTAAAAACGGGGGGGGGGGGGGTGTCCTGATAGAAGGACGTGAAACCGAAAGCCATTCTAGGACCTACCTCTGGGCAAGGTGGCAGAGCTTGGTCATGTCCTCCTCTATTGATTCTCCTACAAAGCCAGGGAGAAAAAAAATAAATAAATAAATTACAATGAAGGGGAATATTTGTAGCTCAGGGTTGAAATGTTTGAAACGAGGAATCCTTGGTCCTCTGTGAGCTTGCTTGTTTTCTTGCAGACGGTTCATGACCCAAACTAGGTGATACCATCAGTGCTAGAAGGGAGGAGGAGGAGGAGGAGGAGGAGGAGGAGGAGTCCTTGGTGCTCTCTGAGCTTGGTTGTTTTCTTGTAGACGTTTCATTACCCTAACTAGGTTACATCAGTGCTATAGTAGTAAGGAGTCCTGTTTGCTGTCGGTTTATATTCTGGGGTCTTGCCTGTCTGTCTGTCTGTGTGTGTGGGGGGGTGTCTTAGAGATTCTTTGGCTGGGCTGTTTACTAATGGCTCTTTCTGGGAGTTGAAGCCCACCAGTCTTAAGTTGGCCAATTTGAAGACCCCTGATTTAGGGATTACATAAATCAGTAAAGTAAGTTTGAACAGGCAGAGCAGATTTCCCAAACCTGGGCCCACTCAGAAGGGTCTTCTCATCCTCCCCCAAGCAGACTGGCCCTGGCCGGCTGGCTAGGGATGATGGGAACTGTAGTCCCATGTCTCTAAACGGCACGGTGCTGGGGAAGGTGGAAGCTCAGGGTTGGGAGTGGAGGCTTAAATTGACCCGTTGTCTTTTTTCCTTTCGGCTTTGGACTGCAAGGCGATCCAACCGGTCAGTCCTGGAGGAGATCAACCCCGACTGCTCTTTAGAAGGCCAGATCCTGAAGTTGAAACTCAGGTACTTTGGCCACCTAAGGAGAAGGAAGGACTCCCTGGAGAAGAGCCTAATGCTGGGAAAGATGGAGGGCAAGAGAAGAAGGGGACGACAGAGGATGAGGTGGCTGGATGGAGTCATGGAAGCAGGAGGCGTGAGCTTCAATGGACTCCAGAAGATGGTAGAGGACAGGAAGGCCTGGAGGAACGTTGTCCATGGGGTCGCGATGGGTCGGACACGACTTCGCAACTAACAACAACAACTTTTTTCCTTCTTTTTTTGGTCCACAGAACCCGTAGTCATGATGGGACGGGGGTGAAGCCTGGAGGGAAAAACCAGAAGATGGACACCACCACCACCACCACCACTGAAGTTCTCAAGAAGGTGACAGCAACCCACCATAGAGACACTGGTGCTCCAGCCTCTCAAACAGCTGGGCGCTTTGGTTGAGCTGCTCCCGGAAGCTCTCGGCCACGTAGTAATCCACCTCGCTGTCCCGCAGGAGATCTTCGAAAGTTCGGATCAAGTTGGACAGGTGTTGTCGGTACGTGGCACAAATGTGGTGGCTCCGGTGGATTTCCTGGCGTTGGGACCGCTCGGGAGGCGACGGGCAGAGGGATAGAGCTTGCCTGCGAAACGGAAGCCGCCGCTCCAGTCAAGCTTTCTGAAGCTCCCCTTTCTAAACAATTATTTATTTTGTGGAGAAAATTGATATGGCCGCCCGCTCGCTCTTAAAGAGACTCCTGGCAGCTTACAAAATACAAATAAAAAAATAAAAAACCCCAATACAGGTAAGTCCTCGATTTATAACAGTTCATTTAGTGGCTGAAAAAAGGGACTTGGTTTTTTCACACCACCCTCGCAGCATCCCCATAACCAGGCGATCGAAATTCAGACGCTTGGCAACTGACTCGTACTTTTGACGGTTTTGCACAGTGTCCCCGGGATCGTGTGATCTCCTTTTGCGACCTTCTGATGAGCAAAGTCAACGGGGAAATCCCGATTTATTTAACAAACTGGGTTACTAACTGAACAGCTGCAGGGATTCCCTTAACCATTCTGGCAAAGAAAAGGTTGGAAAATGGGACAAAATTGACCTAACGAATGTTTCGCTTTGCAACTGTGGACGTAGGTCAAGGGCTGCCTGTGTTTAACCAGAAAAACAATAATCCCTTCACACACACACACACACACACACACACCTTTTCAGATGCTTGATAGGGAACACAAAATTCAGATTTCATCCCTTTCCACAATTACCAACGGGAGTTTTTAACCAGGGGATGGGTTTAGATCAAGGGTATCCAACCTTGTCCACTTCCAAGACCTGTGGACTTCAACACCCAGAATTCCCCTGTGCTGGCTGGGGAATTCTGGGAATTGAAGTCCACGAGGGTTGCAAGTTGAGCAAGGTTGGACCCAGCCCCTGTTTGAGACTCTAGACTCTGCAAATGTAGACGAAATTGTATAAATCCTTCAGTCGGTCCCGCCAATCCTTTGATATTTTTTTATTTTCTTCCTGTATCTATCCAGGAGAGATGAGGCTATGGAGAATGATATCTGGGTGTTTGCAAACCTATTTTCACTTCTCCGGTTCAGCTTGGCTAACCGGGTTCTAACCAAAATGTGCTTTAACGCAGAAAATAAAATTGAGGACAGGCCTCCCGCTGTGCTTCAGGATGGATTTTTTCCATTCCTTTGCCTAGTTGATATATTTCTGCATTTCATTTACAGAAACAGGGGGGGTTGTGGTTCTTTTTCCCCTTCCTATCGCGGGCTGTGACAAGTGCAAATCAAATGCTGATTTTCCTCAAGGGGAAGATGCTGCGTTTTGTTTTTTTTATAAAAAGCCTAACAGGGGAATAAACTGGACAGGTAAGATGGTTGGAGGTGGTGTTTCTCTGCCATTCCCTAAAATACAGAGTTTCTGAGTCTTCAGACTGGCATAAGAACAGACAATTAAAATAAACAGAATTGGAAGGATTAGGGTTAGATAGACAATGAATAGATAGATGGATAGATAGATAGATAGGTAGGTAGGTAGGGAGGGAGGGAGGGAGGTAGACTGATAGATTGATAGGTAGATAGGTAGGTAGATGATAGAAAGATAGGTAGGCAGGTAGATTGATAGGTTGATAGGTAGTTTGATAGGTAGACTGATAGATAGGTAGGTAGGTTGATAGATTGGTAGGTAGATTGATAGGTAGGTAGATTGATAGGTAGGTTGATAGGTAGATTGATAGGTAGGTTGATAGATTGATAGGTATTGATAGATTGATAGGTAGGTAGGTTGATAGGTAGGTAGATTTATAGGTAGATGATAGATTGATAGGTAGGTAGATAGGTAGATAGGTTGATAGATTGATAGGTAGATTGATAGATTGATAGGTAGGTAGGTAAATAGATGGTAGATAGGTAGGTAGGTAGATAGGCTGATAGACAGATTGATAGGTAGGTTGATAGGTAGGTTGATAGATAGGTAGACTGATAGAATGATAGGTAGATAGATTGACAGGTTGAAAGGTAGATGATAGGTAGCAATAACAATAGCAGTTAGGCTTACTGGGACTCAAGAGTGGAAGACTACCTGTATTATAACCATGGTTTTGTTTTGTTTTCTTTTGTTTTGCAGGCACCCTCAACCACAACCCTTTCTCCAAGGGTGAGCCGGGGGCTACTCACCCGGCCTGGGACAGGCTTTTCAGCTTGTCGTGCAGACGATGGACCTCATCAACCAGCTTCATGTTGGCCATCTGCTCTTTCTCAAGTTCAGCCTCGTTTTCCGACAACAACTCTTTGAGCTTCTGCAGGGTCTGGTCATTTGAGGGTCCAGATCCAGCATCTTCCTCCTCCACGCCTTCCTTCAGCTGCGTTTCGTTGGAGAAGCTGGTCCATTCCTGGTCGCTTTCCTTGAACCCTGCAGGAGAAGGACTCTCCCCATCACTCCGAAGGTGGTCCAGAGGGTCGCTGGGAGGGGGCTGTTCGACCAGATCAAACTGGACCAGCAGCATCTGATACTTCTCCACTATAGACTTCAGATCCCGGATCCTTTGCCTCAAGTCTTCAATGTCATCCACAGCTTCGCAATCAAACGCGTCGAAGCTCACGACGCTCTGCTTAAGAGAAGGGCTGTTGCCATCCCGGAACGTGGCCGTGACGTCCCTGCACTGCTTCTGAGGGACATCAAGCGGGGGGAGAAGTTCTTGCAAAGCAGACTGTCTTGACCCGGGGGTCTTCCTTTCGGTTTCTGAAATGGAAAAAGGCAAAAGGCATTTAACCAGAGATGGACTTGGTTTGGGACTAACGAAGAGAAGGACGAGGGGGGGACATGATAGCAGTATTCCAGTATCTCAGGGGCTGCCCCAAAGAAGAGGGAGTCAAGCTATTCTCCAAGGCGCCTGAAGGCAGGACAAGAAGCAACGGATGGGAACTAATCAAGGAGAGAAGCAACCTGGAACTAAGGAGAAACTTCCTGACAGTGAGAACAATTAACCAGTGGAACAACCTGCCTCCAGAAGCTGTGAATGCTCCAACACTGGAAGTTTTCAAGAAGAGACTGGACAGCCATTTGTCCGAAATGGTATAGGGTTCCCTATCTGAGCAGGGGGTTGGACTAGATGACCTCCAAGGTCCCTTCCAACTTTATTATTATTATTATTATTATTATTATTATTAGTAGTAGTAGTAGTAGTAGTAGTAGTAGTAGTAGTAGTAGTAGTAGTAGTAGTATTAGAGATTTCCGGACAGTGAGGACAATCAACCAGTGGAACGGCTTGCCACTAGAAATCGTGGGCGCTCCATCACTGGAGGCCTTTAGAAGAGACTGGACAGCCATTTGTCTGGAATGGTATAGGGTCTACTGCTTGAGCAGGGGGCTGGACTAGAAGACCTCCAGGGTCCCTTCCAACTCTGTTATTCTGTGTATTTCCTTTGAGGTTGTTATGTTTCCAATGTATATTCCTAAAACTAGTGATTCCACCAAGGAGATCATCTGATTTGCATCTCCTCCAAACTGGGACCCTTTACATTACAGTTACTGGGACCCTGTTCTTCCCATGGATTGGATCCAGCAACTAAACACAAATTATGGTTTGTTGGAGAAGGAGGGTAAACAAACAAATTTTATGTTGGTGGGGTCCTTGATGCTTTCTGAGCTCGGTTTTTTGGCGGGTTTTTTTGCAAACGTTTCATTACCCCATTAGGGAACATCATCAATGCTAGACGTGACACTTTGTCTAGCACTGATGATATTACCTGGTTGGGTTATGAAATGTCTGCAAGAAACGACTCAATCTCAGAGAGCACCAAGGATCCCACAGTCCTCCTCCTCTTCCTCCTCCTCCTCCTCCCCCTCCTCCTCCTCTTCCTATCTGCAAAGCCCATTCCCTTCTAGCATTGATGATATTACCTAGTTGGGTTATGAAATGTCTGCAAGAAACGACTCAATCTCAGAGAGCACCAAGGATCCCAGTCGTCCTCCTCCACCTCCTCTTCCTCCTCCTCCTCCTCCTCCTATCTGCAAAGCCCATTCCCTTCTAGCACTGATGATATTACCTAGTTGGGTTATGAAATGTCTGCAAGAAACGACTCAATCTCAGAGAGCACCAAGGACCCCACAGTCCTTGTTTACCTCCTCCTTCTCCTCCTCCTCCTCCTCCTCTCCACAAACCCCACTCCCTTCTAGACTAACGATGTTACCTAATTGGGTTACGAAAAGTCTGCAAGAAAACAATCTCAGAGAGCATCACAACCCTGAGCTACAAATATTCTTTACCATTTCACACTTCTTTTATGTCTTAAATGTATATCCCAGCCTGTTTCCAGCCGCTTAAAAGGGCATCCATCACATTCCTGCTACCAAATTTTTTTCACCAGTTGCCAATCCCGAGTTGTAAGCCGAGATAAGGGAGAATGACTGGCACAAAAAACTCATTTAATGAGCTTCCATGGGGGTGGAGGGGGGTTGGGCTGTAGCCTTCAACCTGCGCCTTTTTAATTTCAACCTGCCACCTTAGGCCTCCACTACCTGTAGTTTTTCAAATAATTAGATAAATGTCCGTGTGAATATAGGTTAAAAAAAAAAAAAGACACCCTAATTTTGCTGGTGTTTGTACACAGCCACTTTCTCTTCCCTTTCCTATTTGTTATTCCATTTTGCAATGAAAGAAATTATTGATGGAGTAGCTTTGGAGGTCTCTTTGATGTCTAGAAAGAGGGAATGGAAAATTTGATAGCAGGTTCACTCCGTGATCATTAATCCCATGTACGAACCACTTTAAGCTGTTCAGTTACGTCCTGGGAAATTCAAACAGAGACAGGGAAACGGGGAAAGAGATTTTTTTTTTGTAGCTCACAAAATGTGCTTGTTAGAAGGCACTAATGGCGATTTAAAAATAAAATTAGAGAGGATCAGAGGAATTTCACCGCTTCCGGCTCAGAGGGAAGCTACACCTCCAATTATACATCAAGCACTTTTGTAAATCCCGCTGACAAGTCAAAATATATATATATATATATACATTAATTCTCAGAAGCTGCTTTTCCAAACTACAAACAGGAGGGCTGGAGAGGAAAAATTCACTTCAGCAAGTCAACTATTAGACAGAATAGTTTCACAGCAGTAACCACACGGCTAACCTGTGGGTTTTTTGTTTTTTGGGGGGGTAAGTTGGGTTTGCAAACTGTACACGTTGCAAATTGCACCCGTATAAAAATAATACGAGCTGCAGAAATTCAAAGTAGGGGAAAATGTACCTAATTGGGTCGCGTTGCTGATGCTCTGATCCTGGTCTCTCTGCACAGGGCTTTGGATGCCGGGCGGGCTAACATCTGCTTCAAAGACTTCTGGTTTGATTGCCGATGCTTCTGAAAAAAAAAAAAGGGGGGGGTTTGATATTTTGGGCTTAAGTGAGCGGGAAATGACAATGTTTAAAAATGAAAATAAAATTTGAAAAGGGAGGGGGAAAGGAATTTTTTAAAAAATTCACTACCTGCTTTCTATTTTAAGGGGAAAATGGTGATTCTGCTAACTGTTTTAAACTAACAGTTAAAAGTAAGCATTTATTACATTCTTGGGACAAGAATAACTTATTCCTTGTATATATTACAGTATTTTTTGTTTAACCTCCTTTAGGCTCTTTCGTGAGTCTATCCATGTACTTTTTCTATGTTTATCTTGTTTTGTCTGTATGCTATCTAAAGCATAACATGATAATTGGAGAAACTGAACAAAATGAAAATAAAACTCAACAATTGTTGCCTCTTTTGTGACAAGTGTCTGTCTGTCTGTCTGTCTGTCTGTCTCTCTCTCTCTCTCTCTATCTATCTATCTATCTAACTAACTAACTAACTATATCTATCTATGTATCTATCATCTATCTAACTATATCTATGTATCTATCTATCAATCATATATATATATCATATATATATAAAACTATCTATGTATCTATCTATATCTATCTATCTATCTATATCTATCAATCTTCTAACTATTATATATCTATCTATATATCTATCTATATCTATCATATATATATATTATATATCTATGTATCTATCTATGTATCTATCCATGCATCTATCTATGTATCTATATATCTATTATCTATCATCTATCTATCTATCTATCTATCTATCTATCTATCTATCTATCTATCTATCTATCTATCTATCTTTATCCCTCTCTCTCTCTCTCTCTCTATCTATCTATCTTCTATATCTATCTATCTTCTATATCTATCTATCTATCTATCTATCTATCTATCTATCTATCTATCTATCTATCTATCTATCTATCTACCTACCTACCTACCTACCTACCTACCTACCTACCTATCATCCATCCATCCATCTATCTATCTATCTATCTATCTATCTATCTATCTATCTATCTATCTATCTATCTATCTATCTATACATACATACACACACACACACACACACACACACACACCCTCTTGTTAGACCAAAGGAACGGAAGAGGAGAAAATCTGGCTGGTCTCCTTCCATGCCATCTCACCATACCTGCTTGTTTGTCTTCTTCCCGTACGTCTTTCCGGTTGGACCCATGACCCTCAGCCTCACTTTGCTGGGCCTCTTCTCTTAGGGGCCTTCCCTTCAGGCCTTGGTCCAGGGTGAAGACACAATGCTGGAGATCTGGCCTGGGCAGGGGGCTCACTAAGGAGATGCTCCCCGTGGATCTTGAGGGTTTCAGTAAAACAGGCAAGCGAGATTTCTTGGGTTGGTAACAAGAGTTGCTCTGAACGAAACAGGAGATCGAGAAAGGATTAAGCAGCGCATCGATAAAGACCAGAAGGAAATGCAGTCTGATCCAGGACAAGCTGAGAGGGAGAAAAAAAGGGGGTGCCTTTCGTGTCTGGGGGTGTGCGGAAGGGATGATGCACGCAACTGAAGAAGAGGGGGAAAAAATCAGCCTTGCAGGGCTGCAAAACAAGTTTGGGGCAGAAAGGCCACCCGTAAGCTTAGCAAGCTGGATTTCTACAGATTTTTTTTTTAATGTAATTCTTATCTACCTTGCTTCTTCCTCCCCTTTCTTCCTGTGAACCCTTGCAAGTTCAGAAAGATTTTTTTAAAAAAAAATAGTTAAGGAAGCACATCGACACCCCATGCATCATTAACTTAAGAAATTACCCTTGAATGTTGCGATAACTATGAAAATGGCCGGTTATTTCTGAGCATTAAGGATGTTCAGGAAAAAAGGCTCTAGCAGCGACTGATTAGCTCTAATAGAGAATAACGGCTAAAAGACCGTAATAGCTAGAAGCGACGTTACTCCCACTGCTTCAGAGTTTCTCCTGGGTGGTGGGTGATGGGACAAAACCTTCCCTTGAAGGCCCACCCTGAGTGGAGATCTCTTTGCCTCAGTTACTCGCTGAGTAAAGGGGACGGGGAAAGAGAGGGGAAAATAGACATGGCCCGGCGGTCCTCCATGGTAAGAGCTGAACATCTACAGATCTTTCAGGAGGTCCACCAACAACATCTACAGATCTTTCAGGAGGTCCACCAACGGTGTCTGAGCAGAGCAGGGCTCATGGAAAGGCATCTACCTTCCCACCTGCTTCAGACCAGGTGTCTCTTTCTCACCTGGACTGGACATGTTTAGCTTAGTTGGGCCGGAGCGCAAAATGTGTTTGGTGTCTTCTAAAGCAGAGATCCAGGTCCATGTAGAAAAAACAAGGCCTAGACTAGACTATGAGAACCTGTCATTCACTGGGCAGCCCTGACACTAACTCAACCAGATCAGCAAGGATTTCTTTCTTCTTCCATGTATTCTATAGTTGCCATGTACTCACTAGCACTGATGACATTACCTAGTTGGGTCATGAAACGTCTGCAAGGAAACCATCAAGCTCAGAGAGCACCAAGGTGGACTCCTCCTCCTCCTCCTCCTGTCTTTCTTGCAGATGTTTCATGACCAAACTAGATGACATCATCAGAGCTAGCAGGGAGTGGGTTTTGCTCTCTCTACTAGCACTTACCATTCCTTTCCAACACTGATGATGTTCCCTAGTTGGGTCATGAAATGCCTGCAAGAAAGCTACCCAGCTCAGAGAGCACCAAGGACCCCACAGTCCTCCTCTTCCTCCTCCTCTTCATCCCTTGCAGATGTTTCATTACCAAACCAAGTGACATCATCAGAGCTAGCAGGGAATGGGGCTCGCTCTGTACCAGCACTTACCATTCCTTTCTAACACTGATGATGTTCCCTAGTTGGGTCATGAAACGTCTGCAAGATGACCACCCAGCTCAGAGAGCACCAAGGACCCCACAGTCCTCCTCTTCCTCCTCCTCCTAGCCCTGATGATGTTACCTACTTGGGTCATGAAACGTCTGCAAGAAGACCACCCAGCTCAGAGAGCACCGAGGACTCCGCAGGTCAACCCTGAGCTACAAGGCGCCTTCTCCAACCGATACTCACTTTGTTTGCTTTGCTGACCAGGAGGAGAGACTTCTGCGGATCGGCCTTGACAGAGACGGACCTCTGCCAGCAATCCTTGTCAAACCGAGAAGATGGGGGGGTGGCTCCATCTTCAGAGACCGGCGTCCTTTGGCCTTCGTGCTTGGGCCTCGTGGCGCCGTCCGGGCCGGTTACCGTCTGGGTAGCCGTGTCCTTCACTTCCACTTTGGACGATTCCGTCTCCACGTCCAACTCGCGCACGGTCCCGTCTCGGCCGGGCGCGGGTTGCGATTCGCCTTGTTGCTTCAACGTGACGTTGGCTTGCATGAGCTGTTCGAGTTCGGTTCTCAGCTGAATAATCAGCTGCTTCAGATCACCTTCCTCTTTATTCTCCAGATCATCATTGAAACTGTCTCGCTCGGCGATTTTCTGAGGCTCTAACGGCTCATTTGCAGCTTTCTTCTCTTCTTGCCTGCTTTTTTTATGCCAGGAGCGGAGAGAGGAGGAACGGAGGGAGAAAAATAACAAAATGATTTTTTTAAAAAAAACAACAACCCCAAACGTTTGTTAGAAACTGCAAAACAGTTTCCAGGCTCACGATAAAGCCTGAATAAATCCTTTCTCATGCCAACCCCCTTCAAAGAGAGTCAGAGGAGAAATTTTGGGGGTGGAGGATTAACCAAACAGTAGGTGTTGCTTTAAAAAAAACCCGAAACAAAATAGGAGAGATTCAGAAATACACTTAATCCAAACAGCTATCCAGAAATGATTAGGTATAATTTGGCGACGGTTTAAAAATAAATAGCAGGCTGGTCCGAAAAAAAACCAACAAAATCGTTGGATGGGAGCTGCTGTTTTTTCCCCCTTAGAAAATGGGGATAATTTTCTCATTTATCACAGTCGGGCAGCTTCGGTGGAGACACAAAAGGGCAGAGAGAAACCTCAAGCGCTCCGGAGGCGGTGGCTAAACGCCAAACTCACTCTGCTGTTTTTTTTCCAGAATGAACCGTTCAAAACAGGCGGTCCTCAACTCAGCAGGGTTGTCAACGCTGCTAACTTGGGATGTTTTTGCACTGACAACAGATGGAGATGCAGCCATTTTCTTCTTGTTGCTTTTAGATGATGCTGGGAGGGGGGGGGATGTGCACGAGAGTCTAGCTAGACATAATAACACTGGACCTAGTGTGAGAACCAAGGTTGTTGAAATAAGAGATGATAAGGAATTGGCGGGCTGGAGAGCAAGCTTGCATTTCAAACTAATTGGGGAATATGGACGTTTTCCCATTTGATTCAGCTTTTTCTTCCGGACGATCCAGATCTTACTTTTAGGTGATGGATGAAGAGAAGATTTGGAAGACAAAACGACCTGAATCAATCATGGTCTCTCCTCCAGTTTACAGAGATCCCTGTCCCACACCTAAAGAGCCTTGGTACAGATTATCAATCACAATGACGTGCCACCAAAATTCCAAGACCAACGTCAGCGATCCTCTTTTAACAACCATGGCGAGAAAGGTCGTTAAGAATGGGGCAAAACTCGCTTAACAACTCTCTTGCTTAGCAAGATCAATTCTGGGCATAAGATGAGGACTGCAAAACCTTAGCAGCCTCCAATCTCCCCCAGACAAAAAGAGAACAGACCTCATTCGTTTGCAATTCTTTCTCGCTCGGAGGCATCCTTTTATAGACTTGGAGATCATTTGACATGGGTGGTCTCACCTGCTTGGCCCCCTCCCTGGAGGAAGCCTCTTCCCTCCACGCCACCCCCTAAATTGCCAAGAAGGAAACTCGCCCCATAAACCTAGCTTTGATCTCCTGGTTACTTAATTGCATGAGGAGCTGAAACCCTTTTGAAGCAGCTAGCTATTTTCTCCCAGGTAAATTAGAGAAAGGGCCATTATTCTCCGTTTTCGACTTGCAATCGCTTCCTTCGTTCCTCCAGTCGGACGGCTGTCCAAATTGCCGTGTCTGAGCTGCTCACTCACCGAGATCCCAATTCTGCCGCTCTGTTTTCGTTCGGAAGGCCTGCAGGCGAAGACGTCTCTTCCTGACTCTCGCAACTGTTGGCCGCTGGGCTCCCGTCGAAGTATTTGCCAGCCACCGGCTCGGCTTCAAAGTCCGGCGGGTTCAGGGTCTTGTAGGGTTGATCCAAAGAGTCTAAAGGGATGATCTGGTGGAAAGGAAAAGAGGCATTGCTCTTTGACTGGCAGAAAGGAAGCATGTAGGCCCCTGTCTGCCAATCTAGAGGCAGGAGAAGTGGAGGAGAGCCATCGACTCTGGCCAAAGAGAAAAGACCCTGTAGTAACCTCCTGGATGCCAGAGTTGGGACGCTAACAATGAAATCCAGCCTTGCAGAGACTTGAAGATGGTACCGTCCGGGGTTGAGCCGGCACCAGGGTTTGTGACTCTGCTCAACAGCCCAAGCAGAAATGCCCATGGTGGATTCCCCCTTTGGGTCAAGGAGGGGAGGGGATAGGGGAAGGGAGGGGAGGAACAGAAGAGAAGGGAGAAGGGGAAGGGAGAAAGGGGAAGTGGGAAGGGAAGGAAGTAAATGGGTGAAGAAGGGAAGGGAAAGGAAAAGGAAGGGAAGGGAAGGGAGTAAATGAGTGAAGAAGGGAAGGGAAAGGAGTAAATGGGTGAAGAAGGGAAGGGAAAGGAGTAAATGGGTGAAGAAGGGAAGGGGAGAGAAGGGAAGGAAGTAAATGGGTGAAGAAGGGAAGGGAAGGAAGGGAAGGGAGTAAATGGGTGAAGAAGGGAAGGGAGTAAATGGATGAAGAAGGAAAGGGAAGAGAAGGGAAGGGAATAAATGGGTGAAGAAGGGAAGGGAAGGGGAGTAAATGAGTAGGGAAGGGAGTAAATGAGTGAAGAAGGGAAGGGAAGAGAAGGGAAGGGAGTAAATGGGTGAAGAAGGGAAGGGAAGGGAAGAGAAGAGAAGGGAGTAAATGGGTGAAGAAGGGAAAGGAAGGGAAGGGGAGTAAATGAGTAGGGAAGGGAGTAAATGGGTGAAGAAGGGAAGGGAAGGGAAGGGAAGGGAAGGGAAGGGAAGAGAAGAGAAGAGAAGAGAAGAGAAGAGAAGAGAAGAGAAGAGAAGAGAAGGGAGTAAATGAGGGAAGAAGGGAAGGGAAGAGAAGGGAAGGGAGTAAATGAGTAAAGAAGGGAAGAGAAGAGAAGAGAAGAGAAGAGAAGAGAAGAGAAGAGAAGAGAAGAGAAGAGAAGGGAAGGGAAGGGAATAAATGGGTGAAGAAGGGAAAGGAAGGGAAGGAACACTAGTAATGACAGAAGAACTGGAGTTATTTCCTCCCATCAGCCTGTAACTTCAGCGAGGCGTACATGGAATTGTAAACCCAGGAATCCTTGCAGGACTCTTCTCTTCAGGCCACCAAAGAGGGACAAACGTCAAACCCAACCGCCCGGCCTATCCTTGAAGGACCCATCGGAGCCATTCATTCTCTGGCACTGCAGAGCTTCACCCGCCCGCAAGGGAGAAGCCCCAAACAGGCCGCCGGGTGATCACCAACTCCCACCTCGCTCAGCGTCTCCGCGCAGTCGCCGCTCGGCCCGCTCGCCTCTTCGTCGGAGGCCCCCAGCAGAGTCTGACTTCCCTCCGTTCTTTCAAGAAGCTACGCAAAAGTGTGGAATGGGATGAAAAAAACAACAACGCTGCATTGGTCAAAGGAAACCGGGTGATATGACGCATGTATAAACAAGTAATGCCTTTTTGTTTTTTTCAACAAAAAAAAAAGGAAAACAAAAACATCCCTGGAAACAAGAGCAACAGATAGGAGGTTATTTAGCATCAGCCCCATCCCAAAAGGTACTAAAAAAAAAAAAGTATTTGATTCACACACGTTTCAGCAAAAGAGGTAGTCCTCGACTTACGACTGCAATGGAGACTTGGAAAGGACCTTGGAGGTCATCGAGTCCAACCCCCTGCTCAGGCAGGAAACCCTATACCGTTTCGGACAAATGGCTGTCCAGTCTCTTCTTAAAAACTTCCAGTGTTGGAGCATTCACCGCTTCTGGAGGCAGGTTGTTCCACTGGTTAATTGTTCTCACTGTCAGGAAGTTTCTCCTTAGTTCTAGGTTGCTTCTCTCCTTGATTAATTTCCATCCATTGCTTCTCATCCTGCCTTCAGGTGCTTTGGAGAACAGCTTGACTCCCTCTTTTTTGGGGCAACCCCTGAGGTATTGGAACACTGCTATCATGTCCCCCCTGGTCCTTCTCTTCGTTAAACTAGACATGCCCAATTCCAGCAACCGTTCCTTATATGTTTTAGCCTCCAGTCCCCTGATCATCTTCGTTGCTCTTCTCTGTATTCTTTCTAGAGCAGTGTTTCTCAACCTTGACAATTTTAAGGCATGTGGACTTCAACTCCCAGAATGCTGGCTGTGGAATTCTGGGAGTTGAAGTCCACATGCCTTAAAATTGTCAAGGTTGAGAAACACTGCTCTAGAGTCTCAACATCTTTTTTGCACCGTGGTGACCAAAACTGGAGGCCGTATTCCAAAGTGTTATTAAGTCACTTCACCCCTAGAAGACCCCAAGGAGCCTTCCAAGCTGGCGTTGTAACCTCCGCCCACAAACACATCAAGCCACCAAAGGTGGTTTTTTCCTTCGTCCACAACTAACACCGCTATCAATCTTTAAGGGGCACAAAAGACACTCGCCCTCTTTGTTTTCACCCCCGCCTTCAAAAGCCTAACGTATCCAGACTCTCCGGAATTCCTTTGGTATATTATAGCAATTAGCGATTAATGGAAACTTTACCAGGCGCTGCTTAAGCGAGACCAATGCCCTGGAGAGCCATTTCCCCGCTTTCCTTAAATGAAAATTCCCATAAAATGGAGCTGTTCACCCAAAGTTTTATTTTGAAAGAGTTATCTGCTGCGAGGCGAAGAAAAAGGAGATGCGTCTTGAATCCCTAAGGCCTTTCCAGATCTCTACAAGATTCATTAAATAACCCATTTTTTTTTCAGGGAAGGACACGTTTGGGGTTCTCCTTTCAGAGGCTTCAACCTGTCTCCGGAATCCACTATCGGAGCAGCCGGAGACTCACAGGTCTAACTCTTTCCCAAAATCCGAAAATTCCTTCTCAACTGAGAAAACGAGAAGGTTTTCCCCTGGCAGGCTAATATTCTGCGTTTCTGGGATGCATTTAATGCAATGAGATCGGTCCCTCACCATCAGTGAGGAGAAGAGCAACAAAGATGATCAGGGGACTGGAGGCTAAAACATAGGATGAATGGTTGTTGGAATTGGTTATGTCTAGTTTAACGAAGAGAAGGATGAGGGGGGACATGATAGCAGCCTTCCAGTATCTCAGGGGCTGCCCCAAAGAAGAGGGAGTCAAGCTATTCTCCAAAGCCCCTGAAGGCAGGACAAGAAGCAATAGGATGGAAACTAATCAAGGAGAGAAGCAACCTAGAACTAAGGAGAAACTTCCTGACAGTTAGAACAATTAACCAGTGGAACAACCTGCCTCCAGAAGTTGTGGATGCTCCAACACTGGAGGTTTTTAAGAAGAGATCAGGACAACCATTTGTCCAGAATGGTATAGGGTCTCCTGCTTGGGCAGGGGGTTGGACTAGAAGACCTCCAAGGTCCCTTCCAACTATTCTATTCTATTCTATTCTATTCTATTCTATTCTATTCTATTCTATTCTATTCTATTCTATTCTATTCTATTATTCTATTCTATTTCCTATTCTATTCTATTCTATTTCCTATTCTATTCTATTCTATTTCCTATTCTATTTATTTTACTCTATTCTATTTCCTATTCTATTCTATTCTAAATTCTGTTCCATTCCCTCTTCTCTTCTCTATTCTGTTCTATTCTATATTCTGTTTCATTCCCTCTTCTCTTCTCTTCTATATTCTGTTCTATTCTATATTCTGTTTTTCTATTCTATATTCTGTTCCATTCCATTCCATTCCCTATTCTATTCTATTCTATTCTATTCTATTCTATTCTATTTCCTATTCTATTTATTCTATTCTATTCTATTTCCTATTCTATTCTATTTATTCTATTCTATTCTATTTCCTATTCTATTCTATATTCTGTTCCATTTACTCTTCTCTTCTCTTCTCTATTCTGTTCTATTCTATATTCTGTTCCATTCCATTCCCTATTCTATTCTATTCTATTCTATATTCTAATCTATTTTACTATCCTCTTACATTGTTTGCCCGCGCTCTGCTCCTCTTGTGGAAAGGAGCCACCGAGCACACAGGCCCTGTCCTTTTCTTCTGAAATGCCGCTTTGGCCCCCATCAAAGCGAGAAAGCATCAGAGGCCATTGTCCACTTTCGTCCACCTTGGGTGGGTGGCAGACCGAGTCAGCCAGGAGGAAGATCGAATCGTTTCCTCCTAATGTCCTTTCTGCAGCCCGGCCAACGCGGGCGTGAAAGCAGCCAAGCGTCTTTGGCGGGGGCTGCCCATTAAGCGCATGGGCTGGGCGCAGAAACGTCATTGAGCTAAGCTGGCTGAATCCTCGGCACAGCCAAGGAATTTCTGAGACCGAGCTGACATTTCCTCCCTCTTGGACCAGCAACCGAAGCGGAAGCCAGACAGAGCTGAGATCGCATTCGGTGTCCGCCACAGAAGCCGCCTTTGACAGCCTCAATCTCTTCTTTCTACCTCCCCACCCCCTTTTTTAAAAAATAATAATAATAATAATATAAAACAGGCGTCTCCAACCTGAACAGAGAGCATGGGGGGGGAATTAGGGGGGGGAAATACACATTTCCATGTGAAACCGAGTCTGGTGGTGGTCCAACGGCCAAATCCACCCCCTCCCCCCAAAAAAACACCCAGTTCAAGGTGAAGGGAAGGGCTTCTGAGGATCGATCCGGTCTTGTTCCAAAAACCTTGAGAGTCTGCTTTTCCTCGACAAAGTTGCTGAGACGCCACCTTCTGCAACCAACAAGAGGGCCCCAGATGCTGGACTCAGCACAATGAGCGCCCGGTTTTGAAAGCAGATGTTTGGGAGAGGAAAGAAAAGCAAAGCTTTTTCGCTTTTCGGAGGCCAGAACCGCTCCAGGTGTTGCAGGTCCCCAAGGAGTTGGAAGTTATAATAATAATAATAATAATAATAATAATAATAGTAATAATAATAATAATAATAATAATAATAATAATAAAAAGTTGGAAGGGACCTTGGAGGTCATCTAGTCCAACCCCCTGCTCAGGCAGGAAACCCTATATACCATTTCAGACAAATGGCTGTCCAGTCTCTTCTTAAAAACTAGAGATAGAATATACCATTTCAGATAATAATAGAGTAGAGCAGAGCAGAGCAGAGCAAGCAGGAACAGAACAGAACAAGACAGAACAGAACAGAATAGAGCTGGAAGGGACCTTGGAGGTCTTCTAGTCCAGCCCCCTGCTCAAGCAGGAGACCCTTTCCCATTTCAGACAAATGATTGTCCAATCTCTTCTTAAAAACTTCCAGTGACGAAGCGCCCACAACTTCTGAAGGCAAAAGCCGTTCCACTGGTTAATTGTTTTCACTCTCAGGAAATTTCTCCTTAGTTTTATGTTGCTTCTCTCCTTGATTGGTTTCCATCCGATGTTCCTCGTCTGGACTTTGGGGACTTTGGAAAATAGCTTGACCCCCCTCTCTGGGGGAGGACAGAAGATAGTTAGAAGACCCCCACGGAGAGGACTTCCTGCAGCCCTGCCTGGATCCTAGGTAGCTTTCTGCCATTTTAAAACATCTGCTCAGGAAAAGAGAAGAATAATGGGTGAGGGCACCCATCCCTTCCCTCTGTTTCCCCAACAACTGTAACTTTGCACCCAGAGCCAGCACCAACTTCATCAAACCTGTGCACACGGTTCAGCTGCTTTATGCCCCAAATTTGCTGGAGACAGCCAAAAAAAAAAAAAATTCAGGTTGTGTAAGCATTCCATTTTCCAGCTCCTTGAGTCACAAAGTCTGATTTAAGCACTCCAGGTAGAAAAATGTCATTCTGCTGCTTGGTTTTTGATCCAGAAAAAATGATCCGAGCAGTACTTTTTCTTAAAATAAAATAAAATAAAATAGCAAGCTGTGCACTTCCGAGGGATTAAAACGGGGCAATCGGGCCCAGTGATTCATTGCAAGATGGGAAGGGGAGGGATGTCGGGGGGGGGGGGGAAATAAGAGAACAGCTCAACCTGTTGGATTTCCTCAAGGAAGAACACAAAAGCGAGGCAACGTATCTCTCATTTAAAAGGATCCGAATCCTCCCAATCTCCAGATAAAATAGGAGCCAGCTGTGTGCAGCAGCTGCCAAAAAGGCCAACACAGTGCTAGGCTGCATTAACAGAGGGATAGAATCAAGATCACCTGAAGTGTTAATACCGCTTTACAATGACTTGGTAAGGCCACACTTGGAATACGGCATCCAGTTTGGGTCACCACAATGTAAAAAAGATGTTGAGACTCTAGAAAGAGTGCAGAGAAGAGCAACAAAGATGATTAGGGGACTGGAAGCTAAAGCATATAAGGTACGGTTGCTGGAATTGGGAATGTCTAGTTTAATGAAAAGAAGGACAAGGGGGGACAGGATAGCAGTGTTCCAGTATCTCGGGCTGCCCCAAAGAAGAGGGAGTCAAGCTATTCTCCAAAGCACCTGAAGGCAGGACAAGAAGCGACGGATGGAAACTCATCAAGGAGAGAAGCAACCTAGAACTAAGGAGAAACTTCCTGACAGTCAGAACAATTAACCAGTGGAACAACCTGCCTCTAGAAGTGGTAAATGCTCCAACACTGGAAGTTTTTAAGAAGAGACTGGACCGCCATCTGTCAGAAATGGTGTAGGGTCTCCTGCTTGGGTCGGGGGGTTGGACTAGATGAGCTCCAAGGTCCCTTCCAATTTCTAGTCTAAGGTCTCCTGCTTGAGCAGGGGGTTGGACTAGAAGACCTCCAAGGTCCCTTCCAACTCTTGTTATTCTTAACTGGTAGCTGCTGGAATTTCTTCTGAAGCCTTCAGCAATCATCTTGCAAATCCAAGGATATTGGATTCACCCTTTACTGGCACCCTCCGAAAGCTATCAAAAGGGCAACAGCATTAACTTGGATAGGAGCCCTGAATTCTCATGGCCAGGCCTTCTACACGGTTGGAACACGTATGCTTAGCTTTACAGTTGACCTCCATCCATTTCCCCTAAAAGGAAGATTTTTGCTTCTTGATTATCCACAGTTCCCTTTCCCAAAAGGCAACCTCCAGGGGGAATATTCCGAAATTGAATTTTAAAAGACGGCTCCCTATTTGGAACTTGGGTTTGGCTGGTCTAAAGAAAAGAAGGAATAGGGGAGACATGATAGCAACGTTCCAGTATCTGAGGGGCTGCCACAAGGCAGAGGGGGTCAAACTATTCACCAGAGCACCAGAGGGAATGAGAAGAAACAATGGTTGGAAACTGATCAAGGAGAGAAGCAACCTGGAACTAAGGAGAAACTTCCTGACAGTGAGGACAATCAACCAGTGGAACAGCTCGCCACCAGAAATCATGGGCGCCCCATCACTGGAGGTTTTTAAGAAGAGACTGGACAATCACCTGTCTGAGATGGTGTAGGTTCTCCTGCTTAAGCAGGGGGCTGGACTAGAAGACCTCCAAGATCCCTTCCAGCTCTATTCTATTCTTTTTCACTTACACTGTCAACCGTATCCCGGTTGACTTTTGAAGAAGTCTCAGATCACGCAATCTGGATCTGTTCCATCTGTTGTCCAAGCTGTGCGTAATATCTTCAACAATTTCAGGGGACCGTGTTAGTTTCAGGAGAATTAGGAGGTTTAAGAAAAACCCGAGTCTCACCTCGCTTGTGTCTAAGGACTTCTGCTTCTCGTTTCCCGAAGGATCCGACGTGGAGAAGTCAAACGGCTTCTTTTTCAGCTCCTGGATGACCCAGTGCATTTCCTTCACCACGCCGAGGAGCTCGACAAACTGAGAAAAACGTGAAGAGAAGCCCTCAAAGACGGTGGGAATTCTTACATCCTTCCAGAAAGTTCCTATGTTCCCATTTGAACAGATGGTTCTTGGTCAAAACGCCCTGCCTGACTCACGTTTCCCACAACACAGGGAATTCACCTTGGAAAGGACCATGATGAGCCTGCCTACAAATAGCTGGTTAACCAGGATGCTTATCAGTTAGGTAGGCTACTCCGTTCATGTCCCAAATGGGGACAATTAATCTTATCCAAAGCAAAGGTGAGATAGACTCCGTATTTGGGCTCTTTTAATCTAGAATCTGACCCTCCTTGGGATCCCTCTCAATTCTTGTAGAACTGGTGGTTGGATCCTGAAGGTTATTCTAGATTTGCTACTCCAAGTATCTCCTACGTTCGGATCCCTTGCAATTTCCTTGCAAACTTACGTAGGCGGACATCAAGCAACCCGCACTGGAACTCAACACAGTCAATACAGCCAACTCAACACAGCCAACTCAACACAGCCAACTCAACACAGCCAACTCAACACAGCCAACCCGCCACGGTCAACTTGCTGTGGGACAACTCGCCGCAGGACAATTTAACAGTTCAATTGAATTATTCAAAATAAAATTTAAAAAATATATATTTCAATTTTTGTCATTCCCTTTTCATTCTGTCTCTCCTCCAGCATTCTTTTCTTTAATGACTCTTTTTCTTGGATATTAGTGTAACTCTCGTCCCGCGGCGAATGGTCCCGCGTCAAGTGGGCCATGTCAAGTTGGCCAATGTGAGTTGGCCATAGCAAGTTGGTCGTGGCGAACTGTCATCAGACCGGCACTCACTGTGCGGTCTCAGAGACAAATAAGATGCAGTGATGTTAATGAGCTTTCTCGAAGACACGGCTAGAGAAGAGGGGAGCCAAATACCTTCTTTTTAAGCTCCTCCACAGAGAGCTGGTCAACTTGACAGTCCCAACGGTGATCCTGGTCCCGCAAGCAGATGCTCATGTACGACGTCTGGTTGCTCCAAGATAAATGGGTGTCCTCTAGTGAAAAAAGCAGGGTGGAAAAACTGCATTTATTCCAGAATAATGCCACCTAAGTTGAGCCATGAACGTGAGGAAGAACGCTACCTAGGATTAGATTAGATTAGGATTATATTAGATAACCTTTATTGTCGTTTTTTTCCTGTGGGCACAACGGCACACATTAAAAATGAAATTTAGTTGCTTGCTCTCAAAGTGTACACATACATAACACACATTTAAAACATACTATGTACAACATATGTATACACCTACACCCTTACATATAAGTAACATATAAATGTTAATCACTGTCCGTCTTGAATACATAACGGAAGGAGGAAGCTTGAGAGTTCACAAGGTTGATACTGTATGGAACGAAACTGGGACTGAATCAGAATGTTCTGCTTCGGATACCACGAAGCCCTCGCCTCCCAGAAGGGAACAAGGAAAACAGGTTGTGAAGAGGATGTAATAATAATAATAATGATAAAGTTGGAAGGGACCTTGGAGGTCATCTAGTCCAACCCCCTGCTCAGGCAGGAAAACCTATACCATTTCGGACAAATGGCTGTCCAGTCTCTTCTTAAAAACTTCCAGTGTTGGAGCATTCACCGCTTCTGGAGGCAGGTTGTTCCACTGGTTAATTGTTCTAACTGTCAGGAAGTTTCTCCTTAGTTCTAGGTTGCTTCTCTCCTTGGTTAGTTTCCATCCGTTGCTTCTTGTCCTGCCTTCAGGCACTTTGGAGAATAGCTTGACTCCCTCTTCTTTGGGGCAGCCCCTGAGATACTGGAAGGCTGCTGTCATGTCCCCCCTCATCCTTCTCTTCATTGAACTAGACCTGCCCAATTCCAGCAACCGTTCCTTATATGTTTTAGCCTCCAGTGCCCTAATCGTCTTTGTTGCTCTTCTCTGTACTCTTTCTAGAGTCTCAACATCTTTTTTACATCGTGGTAACCAAAACTGGATGCAGGATTCCAAGTGTGGCCTTACCAAGGCCTTGTAAAGCGGTATTAATACTTCACGTGATCTTGATTCTATCCGTCTGTTAATGCAGCCTAGCACTGTGTTGGCTTTTTTGGCAGCTGCAGCACACGGCTGACTCATATTTAAATGATTGTGTAGAGTCCCAGACAATCTTGTGGACCCTGCTCAAACAACGCTTATGTGCTATACAACCATGAATGTGAAGCTGGATGCTACCTAAGATGCAGCCATGAACATGAAGATCGATGCTACCTAAGATGCAGCCACAAAGACTGGTAGTCCTGTGTATCCCTTTCTCTACAAACCTCTCTATCCTCTTTGGAGAGCAAGAGTCTATTCTACTCACCTTCCTTCCTGTTGTCCTGGATTTGCTCTTCTAACGCTCTCCTCAAATTCCAAGTCTCCAGGATGCCTTCTTCAAGTTGCTTCCGCAGGGCCAAGATGGTGTTTAGCTCCTCCTGCAGATTATTTATGCTAATTTTTTTTTTAAAAAAAAGAAAAGAAAAGAAGAATTTTTAACTGAAAGACCGAAGGAGACAAACGCTCAAGGCTCACGAAACATTTGCAAAAATTGTGCTCTGGACCTCTGGCATAACTTTTGGTTCAGACATAAAAGGAGAAAGAATGAAGTCGGCTTTTAAAAGCCTCTTGAAAGGGCAGGATAAACAGATCTTTATAGAAGATTAAAATAAAAGTTTAAAAAAAAAACCACGAGCGTCATTTGTCCCCGTGGCGGTGGTGGTGTCTTTCAAACTTGGGACGACATCCTGAGCTTCAAACTTATTAATTTTGTCCTCAGCAAGGACACAAATTTGTCTGGAATCTCTGAAGCCTTCGGAGAGATCTGTTTATTTCACTGACATTTTTTTCCCCAGGCTGCCGAGTTCTAAATCTCCCTCCTTTAGTTCATCTGCACAACGGTCGGGCGAGGTAGGGTAGGCCCAGGATGCCTTAAGTTCACAGGGCTCCGCTCTTCGGTTTACGACTGCAGTTAAAAGAATAGCACAGTGGCGGAGAGAGAAAAGAGTAAAGGAGGGGAGAAGGAAGTAGGAAGGTTGGAGGAGAGAGTGGTGAAAGAGAAGAGGAGAGGAGAGGAAGAAGAGGGAAGTAGGGAAGAAAGAGAAGGAAGGGAGAAAGGAGAGGAGAGAGAAAAGAGTAAAGGAGGGGAGAAGGAAGTAGGAAGGTTGGAGGAGAGAGTGGTGAAAGAGGAGAGGAGAGGA